ACCTTGGTCTATCCGTATTGTGATTCCAAAGCGAACCACTTGTATGGAATGGAAGGCTTCCAGAACCGTTAGTATCCGTACGTAGTACGGATGCCTGAGGTGCCTGGTAGGCAGTAGTCTGTAGACCGATGCTGCCCAGGCTCGTGGAGGCCCTGGAGGGTTTCCCAAGACGCGCCACCGGCGCCATCGCCGTCATCGCCGGCTGCGCCCCAACCACGACGGGGGAGAAAGGAAGCACGGAGGGAAAGGCCACCCCTCTCCCACAGTCGTTGCTTTCCGTGATTTCCCCCGGGGGTCGCACTTGCCCCTCCCCACACCCGCCCGCCTCCGCTCCTGTCCGGCGTGTCTCTCTTCTTTCCTCCCTTTGCACCGTCACCAGTACCTGCCCATTCGACACCCCGCACATGTGCAATGGCCCCAAGTTCCCGCCGTGCTTTCCCTACAAATTCGAGCGGGCTTGGCATCTGACGTAATCGTTTCAATCGTGCACTTTCCCATGTCTGAATGCGTGCGACCTTCCCTACAAGAAAGGAAAAAAAGAACATAACACGAATATCCGGTATATCCCCAGACCATGCTGCACACAGCACGAGGGCCCGCCTCCGCCAAGGTCAGCCAAGATGGCCAAGCGTGTTCTAATGCTTGATGGATGGATACACTCGCCGACTTCTGCACCAGTAAGAAAATCTTCGCAGATACAATTCCTGTCACCGTCACCATCTGTACCTTCCAGTATGGAGTACTTGCCTTACATCCATGTTCTGCCCGCGTACCTACCTACTCTGTCCCCCCTCTAGTCTTTCCTTGTTGTTCCTCAACTGCCACGGTACCGGTACGTTTCTTGCCGTTACCGCAATCAATGGATTCCATTTGTTCTTGGCGATGCTGCCTTTCACCTTCCTTCCTGGCCCTCAAAAGGCAGACCGATGCCCCCTTCCCCGCCGCTGCCTCTTGGTGTCTCTTTCCCACTATCAAGAAACGCTGCAAGCTATTCGATGACACCTCAATTGACAACCTGCCTCTGTGTTGCCACTTTGACCAGTCCTTGTTGAATTCGCCCGGTTTGTCCAATTCGACCCATTTCAGAAATCTTCATCAACCCCCTCGTCTTTCTGTCGCTTTCACGTCCAAGGCTTCAACTCTCTCTGGCATCAACTCTACTCCCTCGCCCACGTCACCTATTTTGAGCTCCCACACTCTGTTCCCCTTTGCCTGGCATGGGGAACCAAAAGGCCGCAAAGCCCGATGAGAATCACGTCTCGGGCCAATCCAACAAACCGCTCTCTCACCCAGCCCATGCCTTGTCATACCAGCAGCTGGCTGAGGAGCTCCGCGCCAACACCCTTAATGGTCTCTCTGCTCAAGACGCAAAGTCCCGTCTCGACGAGTTCGGCCACAATGACCTTGGCGAAGCCGAGGGCGTCCAGCCCATCAAGATCATCATCGCCCAGATTGCCAATGCCATGACCATGGTGAGTTGCTTTCCCACCTTCACCCAAAATGCACCCTTTGCTAACCCGTGCCTAGGTTCTAATCCTTGCCATGGCCGTTAGTTTCGGCATTGGCTCATACATCGAGGGCGGTGTCATTACTTTTGTCATCTTACTCAACGTCATCGTTGGTTTCTTCCAGGAGTACTCCGCTGAGAAGACAATGGATTCCCTCCGTTCCCTCAGCTCCCCCACCGCCAATATTGTTCGTGACGGTGAATCCATGGTTGTTCCCTCCGGCGAGATCGTCCCTGGTGACCTCGTTGAGATCAAGACGGGAGACACGATCCCCGCAGATGTCAGGTATCCTATGCCATCAACAGCAACGTCAAGACCAAGCAGAGCAACTGATGATGCTACAGGCTGATCGAGGCGGTCAACTTCGAGACCGACGAGGCTCTGTTGACCGGCGAATCCCTCCCCGTGCGAAAGAACGAAGACGCAACTTTCCCCGATAACACCGGCCCCGGAGACCGTCTCAACGTCGCATACAGTTCGTCCAATGTCACCAAGGGTCGCGCCAAGGGCATTGTCTTCGCAACAGGCGTTTACACCGAAATTGGAGCTATTGCGTCTGCCCTTCGTAAGAAGGATTCCAAGGTCCGCGAGGTCAAACGCAAGCCCAACGGCAAGGCAAAGCCTCATCGATACCTCGAGGCTTATACCTTGACTTTGACCGATGCCATTGGTCGTTTCCTTGGTGTCAACGTTGGCACCCCTCTGCAACAGAAACTCTCCAAGCTCGCCATGCTCTTGTTCGGCATCGCCATCGTCTGTGCCATTATTGTTCTTGGCGCCAACAAGTTCGAGGCTAGTCAGGAAGTTATCATCTACGCAGTTGCGACCGGTCTGTCCATGATTCCGGCCAGTCTCGTGGTCGTACTTACCATCACTATGGCGGCCGGAACCAAGCGCATGGTGAAGCGCAATGTCATTGTGCGCAATCTCAAGTCGCTCGAGGCTCTTGGTGCAGTTACAGATATTTGCTCCGACAAGACCGGCACCCTGACGCAGGGCAAAATGCTAGCCCGTGGTGCTTGGTTGCCTGCTATGGGAACGTACACCGTCGAAAACACATCGTCACCGATGGACCCCACCACTGGTGATGTTCGCTACGACGAGCGGTCTCCTAGACACCTCAACTTTAAAAAGGGAGGTGACGCTTGTGGCACTATCATGAAGACCGGCCAGCTGTTGCAAAACAGCAAGTCGGCCCTATCCGCGTTCCTCTACGTGGCGTCCCTGGCCAATCTCGCCACCATCAACAAGAAAGATGATCAATGGCTTGCCCGCGGCGATCCCACCGAAATCGCCATCCAGGTCTTTGCTTCCCGTTTCGACATGAATCGCCTCAAATTTGTCAGTGGCAGCGACAGCCCCGAGTGGAGCGAGATTGCCGAGCTTCCATTCGACTCGGATGTCAAGCGCATGTCCGTCATCATGAAGAACAACGCCACGAACGAGTATTTCGCCTACACCAAGGGTGCTGTCGAGAGAGTGATTCAGATCTGCACAAAATACGCTCCCAGAGATGATGGCGTACTGGTAGACATCACGCCTGAGTTCCGTGAGGAGATCCTTCGCAACATGGAGGCTTTGGCGGGACTCGGGTTGCGCGTTCTCGCACTTGCGAGCAAGCCTTATGAGGGCACACCCAGCAAGGGCGATGAGGTTGAACGTTCTTCTGTCGAATGTGACCTTGTATTTCGCGGTCTCGTGGGACTCTACGATCCCCCGCGTCCCGAATCCGCCCCTGCTGTTCGACAGTGCCACGAGGCCGGCATTTCGGTCCACATGCTCACTGGTGACCACCCCGAGACCGCAAAGGCCATTGCCATTGAGGTTGGCATCTTGCCCACTCGCATGGAGCGCGTCGCAAGGAACGTTTCAGACGCCATGGTCATGACGGCTTCGTCGTTCGATGCATTGAGTGACGACGAGGTTGACAAGCTCCCTGTCCTCCCGCTCGTCATTGCAAGATGCGCCCCAAGCACCAAAGTTCGAATGATTGAAGCTCTTCATCGCCGCAAGAAATTCTGTGCCATGGTAAGTGGATATTCCTTCGCCCCATTTGTGTAATGGTCTTCTTATTATTATAGACCGGTGACGGCGTCAACGACTCTCCTTCCCTCCGCCGTGCCGATGTTGGCATTGCTATGGGTCAGTCGGGTTCAGATGTGGCCAAGGATGCATCCGATATCGTTCTGACTGACGACAACTTTGCCTCCATTGTCGCCGCTATCGAAGAGGGCCGTCGTATCTTTGACAACATTCAAAAGTTCGTGTTGCACGTCCTTGCTGAAAACATTGCCCAAGCTGGAACATTGCTGGTTGGTCTCACTTTCAAGGACGCTCGCGGTCTGTCGGTCTTCCCGCTTGCTCCTGTTGAAATCGTCTGGATTATCATGGCCACGTCTGGTATGCCCGACATGGGACTTGGCTTTGAGCGTGCTGTCCCAGACATCATGCGTCGCCCACCTCAGTCTCTCAAGACGGGCATTTTCACCATGGAGTTCCTCGTCGACATGGTCTTCTACGGCCTCTGGATCACCGCTCTCTGCCTTTCAAGCTTCTCGCTGGTTGTCTACGGTTTCGGGGCTGGCGATCTTGGAGAGAGCTGCAACGAAAGATACAATGACTCTTGCGACACAGTCTTCCGCGCCCGTGCTACCACTTTTGCCTGCCTCACATGGTTTGCCTTGTTCTTGGCCTGGGAGATGGTTGATATGCGTCGGTCATTCTTCCGCATGCAACCAGGATCCAAGAAATATTTCACTCAGTGGATGATTGACGTTTGGCGAAACAGGTTCCTCTTCTGGGCCATTATTATCGGCTTCGTTACCCTGTTTCCCCTGCTGTATATCCCCGTCATCAATACTGTTGTGTTCAAGCACAAGGGCATCACGTGGGAATGGGGAATTGTGTTCATTGCTGCAGGACTTTTCTTCGCTGGTGTCGAATCCTGGAAATGGGGCAAACGCGTCTTCTTCAGGATCCGCAACAGCAAGAAGCTTGGTGTCGCGTGGAAAGACATGGACATTGAACAGAGAGTATTCGGGGAGTACCTCGGCTCCAGCGATGATGATCACCACACCGAAATTGGCGACGATGACATTGACCTGGAGAAGGAGAGGGCGGCCTTGGAGAAGAAGTAAGCGAGACATGATTACCAGATTGTCAGCTTATGAAGACAAGTGAGTGCGTGCTTTGGAGCGGGTGAGCGAGACTAGTGCGCATGTTGTAGATGATGATACCATGGTAACATCTATGATAGTAACGAATCAAAATCATTTACAAAAAGTGGCTGGGTCTCTCTCGGAGGTGTGTCTCAGTCTGCTGCTGCAAGTCACCAGGCACCGATTTAAGCCCCTGTTACTATTACCAAAGGCGAGCCTAACCGGGCGAGACTATGCCCATTCCTTACGCAGATCAGCCCTGTATATGGCCACAGTACCATGCCAAGGATACTGGATTTCCGAGGGACGAATCCTTCTGAGTGTAAACGAACACCGCGAAGTAGCTACTTCTCGTGGTGCGGTGCCACCAAAGGATTGGTCGCCCCGCTGAAGCTGACAGCTTTTGCATCACTGACTTGAAGGTTTGATCTTGATGTATTGTTGAGACATTACTGTATAGAAGGAATGAATTCCCCTGTATTCCCACGTTGACTCACGACAATGAAATTGTTTTCGGACCATCCATCTAGAAATCTGCCAAGATGCGCTTCACGGCACTGATTTCGTATATCCTCTCCGCGCTCTTCGTAGCGCAATCCCCAACACCAGCCCTCGCCATCCCGACAACACGCCAATCTGGAAGCCTGGCCTTTCTACCCGACAACCCTCTTTTCACATTCTCCTATTCCACGCAAAACGCCGACGCAAAGAACTGGATCGGCATCTACCGCGCCTCCGGCGGCGGACCCGAGAACCAGACGTTCGTGGAACCGTCGCTGGTCTGGGGGTATGCGCCCCAGTCGAATGGGACACTCAAGATTGACAATGGGGGCTTGGTTCCTGGCGAGTACCGCGCCTACTTCCTCGCCAAAGACGGATATGCGTGGCTTGCGCCGCCGGTGGACGTGAGGGTGCCGTATGCTTCCGGGCCGGTTGAGTTCCTCGTTGACGAAGTCTCGCTGAGGAACGCGCGTGTGGGGGACGGGTACGAGGCGCGGGTCAATGGGTTGAGGAGCGGTGGCGGGAGTGCGTCCGTGAACTTTCGTAAAGTCGAAGGGAGCGAATGGGTCAAGGTCTCGGAGGCGGGCGTGTTATCCGGCACGCCTGACGTCGCGGGGCCCGCTCACGTCAAGATCGAGGTGGCCGTCGCAGCAACAGCAGCGGCGGATGGATCGTCTGCGCGGTTGAACGTCACCATCCCCGTCCGCCCTATCGGAGCACTGCTTGTTGACGAGGTATCCGTCATGTCGTTTAACCTGTGGCACGGCGGGACGCAGGTGTCCGATTATCACGCCAAACAAGTGCGCTTCCTGGCCTCAAGCGGCGTGGATGTCGTCGGCGTACAGGAGAGCACGGGAGGCCATGCTACGCGGCTGGGGGATGCGTTGGGGTGGTTTTCGTGGCAGGGCGGCGATGTCGGGTTCGTGAGCAAGTATCCGCTCAAGAATGCCGCTGCGCACGAGGGCGGGACGTATGCTGCTTCCGTGAGGGTTGTGCTCGATGGTGAAGGGGAGGAGGTTGTGTTGTGGAATGTGCACTTGGGGTACGACCCGTACGGACCCTACGACTTCTGCTTCGACAACATGACGGTGGAGGAGGTGCTGGCGCGGGAGACGGAGTCCAAGAGGACGCCGCAGATCGAGTCTGTCGTCCGGGCTATGGCGGGGCAGTTGGCTGAGGCGGAGGCGGTGCCTGTGGTGCTGGTGGGTGACTTCAACGCGCCTTCGCATCTGGATTGGGTTGATGCCACGAGCGGGATGCACTGCGGACAAGGGGACATGCCATGGCCTACGTCAGTTGCGCCGACGGAGGCCGGGTTGGTTGATTCGTACCGGGTGGTGTGGCCGGACCCCGGGGCAAGGCCGGGAGTTACGTGGTCGCCTATCTTCTTGGAGAATGAGGGAAGGCCGGAACCGATGGATAGGATCGATTTTGTGTATTTCCGGGGCGGGAAGTTGGAGGTTCTCGGGTCGCAGGAGGTTGTGGTGGGGGAGCCGGCGCCGGAGCCGGAGCACGGGGCAAATGAGTGGACTTCGGATCATGCTGCTGTTGTGACGAGGTTCAAGGTGAAGAGTTAGTTGCATCTATGACAATACGTCGTACTATGTATGGTGTCTAGAAGTTAAAGTCTGCGTGAGTGAACAGAATGTATATACTGTAAGGCAAATGATGAGATCTGTGGCAATCTGTTGGTCTTCGTGTCAAAGTGTTGGTAACTGCTTAGTGCCTCATCTTCAGTGCCTTATCTTCACCCCAGGCCGCGATGTGTTTTTCTTTATTGTTATTTCAAGAAAACGCTCTTGTGCCTTATGGAAAAAATAATGGGTGCACGAACAGAAGAAGAGCCCAACAATTGCTATAAATTCTATGCACTTGCTCCTTGACCAAATCAATGGAGAGTTTGCTGTGATACTGAGATATGTAATGCTTACGTAAGGCATATTGCATGAATCCATTAGTTGAATTGTGCAGTGGATTTATGCATAGAAGTACTGACTAAGCAAGGTTGGGATGCATTGCAATGACGTTGGTGTGGTTCGTGCGGAGCAATGATGTAAGTGCCCGGTGAGGTGGAAGGAGGACCGTGTAAGGAAGGAGGCCCTGCGCAGTGTGGCCGACATCAGGCCACTCACCACACACTTACGGCAGGCACCTTGACGTTTGAACTTGTTTTCAGATTTTGGTATCAGGAAGGAGCACCTGCTGGTAAGGCCATGTACACAGTATTTACATAACCACCTCCTCTTGAACCTGGATAGCCGGAACTTCCTTTCGTCCCCATCCACCACAAGTCATCTCTGAAAAGAAGAAAGAAAACCACAACCAGACAACCAGTACTCGAATCGAATCGAGTCCCGAGAACCGAGAATCGAATACCAAAAAAGCAATAAAGATGCCCTTCTCTTTTACATCCTCCATCTCCTTCTCCTCCTCAATCAGCCACAACGGCAAGACAGAGGAGAGGCGCTGGGCCCGCAAGACGGAGCGGAGTCCCTCGGGCACCACCGTCCGGACAGCTTCCTACAAGACGGGCGAGCCAGTCTACCTCGAGCGCCGCGAGTACGATTCTGCGGGACGCGCCCTACCAGAGGGACGCGCTGTCAAGAGCGATGGGACGGAAAAAATTGATCGTCGCATCGAGGACGTTTCTGAGCGGGAATGAGTGTGTGGGCTACGGAATGGAATCATCAACATAATGGGCAAGGAGTTTCGGGGTTTGCTTTGGGAGGTTATCAGTCAATGAGCGACGGAGTCATTCCCTGTCCTCATAAAGAAGTGTCTTATAAGTGCACTTGGTCTTGTGATGGCAGGTGTGGTGTTTTGTCATGAATATCATGAACTACGTTTGATTGACCGTTGTACTACGGTAGCAGGGAATCAACTTGACAAGTTTCATTTCACAAGCATCAAACAAATATGACGGTCATAACTGCATTATACTACACTCTCTCGCGCATTCTACTGCGCGGCAACCTCAAATCTTGATGACAACCTTGCCAAAGTGCTTCTGGTCCCACTGGTACTGATACGCCTCCTTGACCTCCTCGAAGCCGAAAATCTTCTGATCGACAACAGGCTTGATCTTGTTGACGTCAATCGCCTGGTTCATCTCCTCAAACTGCTGCTTGGAGCCCACAAACAACCCGCGGATCGTGCAAATATTGGCCAGCGCGTCCAGCAGCGTCGGCTGCTCCCCCTCGGGCTTGTCCCCGTGCGACAAGAACCCAATAATGGAGATCACGCCCTCCAACTTGACAGCCTTGAGCGACTGCGCAACCGTACCAGGACCGCCGACCTCGATGATGTGGTCGACACCCACACTCTCCGGCGTCAGCGACTTGGCCACCTCGCCCCAGTTGGGCGTCTCCTTGTAGTTGATGACGTGGTGCGCTCCCAACTTCTTGAGCTGCTCGCCCTTGGCCGCCGACGACGTCGTCGCGATGACCGTCGCACCCGCCGCGACAGCGAACTGGATCGCCGACAGGCTCACGCCGCCGGTGCCCTGCGTCAGCACGTAGTCGCCCGGCTTAAGCGCCTTGGACTGCAGGCCGTACAGCGCGTTCCACGCCGTCAGCGGTGCACAGGGGAGCGTGGCGGCCTCGACGGACGAGAGCGTCTTGGGGGATTTGACGACGCCGTGCTCGGGGAAGACGGCGTACTGGCGGAGGGTGCCGTCGAGGGCACCGCCGAGGCCGGATTTGACGGCGAGCGGGGTGATGGGGTTGGATTGGTGGTGCTGGTTGAAGAGCGTCGCGATGTTGTCGCCCTCCTTGACCTGCGTGACCTTGGGGCCGACGGAGACGACGCGGCCGGCGCCGTCAGAGGCCGGGACGCGGGGGAAGCTTACGGGGAAGGGGTAGAGGCCCTAGGTGCAAAGGAGCGGCGTTAGCGGGGGTGGCGGGCCGGCGCATCTCGGTCGACCGGAGGAAACTCGGGCAGCGAGCGGGCACAGGGATTACAAGCGAACTTACCTTTGGGATAGCCAGATCGCGGAAGTTTAAGGAGACGGCCTCGGTTTGCACGAGAACATCATAGTCGCCCAGCTGCGGTAGAGGCACATCCTTCTTGAGCTCGAGGGTGTCCCAGTTGCTGCTGTCCTTGCCGATGCCGGTGATGGACCAGGCGTTGGTTGATGTTGGTGCCATGATGAATGTTTGTGTGTGTGTGATGATCAGTTATCGTCCGATTAACCTTTCAGATTCTTCAGTAAAATCACGTAGGATCTCGCTTCGCCAACCTGGCCTTTATGTATCGAACTCCCCAAGAAAAGATTTCAAAGCAATCGTGGGGTTCTTCGAAGCTCCGAAGCTTCGAAGAGCGTCGACATGACGCAATATCCACTTATACCGTCATATCGGGTCCGGCAATGCGACCTTCTTTTGCACTCGATTCCACTGACTCGAACCTCTTGAACCGTAGACACCCCAGCTTGGAGCTATGAACCCCCCTGCCCGTGTCCATTGACTTTCCGCCGCTATTCCGCTTTTTGCCCCGGAGCCGCTCGGCATTCATGCCAATTGCCAGATGCAAGCCAGTATTCCGGGTGCAGTTTGACCAGTTGGCAGAGAGTAGGGATCATGTCGGCGGCCATTTGATCTGTCCCCCGATGGCCAACCCACCAAAATGGCATCCAGAGTGTCATGAGAACTCAACGATCGGACCATGGATGCGTTAGACGGCGTCGTGTTGTTTCTCCCGCGTCCACTGATTTAGAAGCCCGCAGCTCTCAACACCTGGACTTGGCTGGGTCTGTGCCCACTTGCATCCATTTTCCAGAAGATTTTGTTTCTTCTAGCTTACTAATTCGATACTCACTCATGAGGGGAGAGGAAGTGGTAACGAGACGGTGAGGAACGAGACAGCAGGCTCGATAGGTGCACAAACAACTTGCGAATAGCTTCACTTTTCTCACTAGTCATGCTTGTCAGACACAGTTTGGACCTAACAAAACACCCCCTCCTTTTGATCCTCCGACAGGCGCGAGGATGTATATTGACACGATGCAGGGATTTCTGCCGCCTCTACCGCCCTGAGGCTCGCCCCTCGCAAATGTCCGCCTGAGCCGGATTCTGCCCAGTTGCTATCGAGCTGAACCATGCCGTACATGAGTGCATTTCCTAGGTGGTCCAACACACTATGGCGGGTCGAATGCGAGGAAGCCTACTCACTCACCCGAGGCGGTCGTTCAACATCATCGAAATGAGCACAACTACGGTCCTTCCAGCGACATTCGTCTCGCCCACCCAAGGAATCCGATGAACAGATTTGTTTCCCGGCGTTATTCCCATGCACAAAGTCTAGAACCCGCAGCTGACGCCGCTCCACAATCAAGCTGAGAACAAATGAACCCCACCAAGGCCCACTGTGGCAGAATCCGATGTCTTCGGGTTCGCGGGCTGGAACTGAGACTGCTTGAGATGGTGAGGTTATCAAGTAGCTAGACGGGGGTTCACATCAAAGTGTACAGATGCGGGTATTGCTCTCAACATGAAGCTGCGTCTACTCTAGTGAGTTCACTAGGCGATGTAAACTGCTGTCCCGCCTTTTGATGGGGGCCCAGTTCGTGTAATTATTTCCCGTCCGGGCCGGGGTGTTGCAATCGACGGGCAGTTTCAGATTGACCAAGTGCAATATGGTCCAGTATTTACAACCGCTTTATGGTCTGCTTTCTCTGCTTAATTAGATGCCCCTGCTTTCTCCACGAAATCTCATCAAAACTTCTCGGCAAGGGGGAGGAGGCAAGACTCCGTTTTGTCACCCAGAATGAAGTATGTATGTACTTGGTAGATAACAGCAACCTATACTCCGTGTGGCCCAAATGTAATTCTATCCTAATCTTCATTCCAACTTCCATTGTCATTCTTTTTCGCACCACTGGCGAGTTGCTTTACACAGTCTTTACAGCGTCTCAATCCCAGCAAACCCAACTAGCAACGATGCATTTCACTCGCTACCTGGCCCCGGCCGCCTTCGCATCCGCAGCGGTCGCCGAAAAGACCTTTTGCGGTGCCCCCAACGACTACGAGGTCCTCATGGGCACTCCGTGGATCGTCTACTCGATGAACTACGCCTATCAGGCCATCAAGGGATCGGCCTGCACCGGCTACTACGGCACGTCTGGATCTGGCGATGCCCAGCGGATCCAATGGAGCAGCATCTGGGACATTGATCCCACGTACCAAAAGGATGTCGTCAAGGGATACTCCTTCATCGGCCTGACCCAGAACCTCGAGACCAAGCTCAGTGATATTCAGAGCATCCCCAGCACCTACAGCTGGACTGTCTCCAACTCTTCGGCCTATAAGGGTAAGTTCGGTTTATACCTTGCATCTCGCTCAGGCCGGTGGTGCTCGCATGTGCTAACCCAACCAATCAAGGCAACGTCGTCTACGACTTCATGACCTCCGACACCAAAGGCGACAGCACGTCAAGCAACGCCCAGGAGCTCATGCTCTGGCTCCGCTGGGAAGGCGGACAGGTGCCCATTGGCTGGGCCGAGGGCCCGACGGCCACGATCGACGGGCTCTTTGGCAAGGACGGGTGGAAGCTCTACCAGGGCAAGAACACCGATACCGGCATCACCGTGTCTTCGCTGCTTGCTCCCACCCAGTACGGCGACCTGGAGAAGGGCTCCTTCGAGGGAGACATCAAGGACTGGCTCCTCGCGCTCTCCAAGCAGGGCGTCTTCTCCGAGAGCACCTACGTCAATGTCGGAAATGCTGGCCAGGAGCCGTACTGGGGTACCGTCACGTTCAACAACACTCTTGGCTTGAACATCAACCTTTGAGGTAAAGGAAACATAACCAGGGTATCTGCTTGAGATAACTACCGGCCGAACTTCATGTAAATATTCATCTACATTGTTCATAAACGCTGATGGCCATCTTGTATATCCATCCCAACTGTTCATGACTTCACAAAGATGGTGCCACTCATGACCTTTGTGGCGGTTCCTCCAAGATGCAGCGTCTCCAGCTTTCGTGCACCATCTTCGCCCCGTCCAAGCTTCGCGTCAACGTAGATGTTGCTCTTTCGGCCCATCTCGACTCCCTGCGTGATCTCAAAGCTGAGGGAATCTTCAGACAGCTCATGCAAACTCAGATAACTCGAGAGAGCGCAGGCAGCGCTGCCCGTTGCAGGGTCCTCCAGATCTGGCTCAATTAAACGGGTTCTGATCTTGTGCACAACACGTCCATCGATTGTCTCGGTCCCAAGGCGCACAAAGTAGTATCGCGAAATAAACGTCTTGCGCCACCCTTCGTCCAGAAGCTCCTGTTGCCGGAACTCCATGGGCCCGATCTTTGCGGACGCCAACGATGCCAGCGAGGGCAATTCAACAAGGGCGAACGTCATGCCGTTCACGATGCTAAAGACGGGCGCCTCGACCTCTGCGTTGGCGAGTTCTGCCGTCGCATTGCTGTAGGGCCCGGGCCCAAGGTCTCTCAGCCGCTTCTGATGAAGATGGGTGTTGTGCGGGATGGCGGCCCGTACGGACTCGGACCCCGTCTCTTCGATCTCAATGGGCCCGGCCTTTGCAATCAGCTTCTTGACGCCGCGGGACTTGAGAAAGATGGCCGTGCCGACGGTGGGGTGGCCCGCAAAGGGAAGCTCCGCGGTCGGCGTAAAGATGTCGAAGCGGCGCTCCGTGGATGCGGGGTCGTTGACATCGTGCACAAAGGTAGTCTCCGAGTAGTTGAATTCTCTGGCAATAGTCTGCTTCTGCTCCTGCGTCAGGGGTGTCGAGGCCGGGATTGTGACAATGGCTAGAGGGTTGCCCTCAAAGGGCTTGTCCGTAAAGACGTCGACTGTGGTGTAAGGGAGCTCCATCGATGTGTCGTTCAAGGGCGGATCGCTAAGACGGTAGACGCATATGAAGTATGCCAACAAGGCTCGAATGACAGATAGAACGGGCCCGTGTTCATACGGGCTGTCTAAATAGTGAAGCTGATGAGCGATATATGAGTCACTTGCTGGTTCTTAGACCTGGTTGAGCCGGAATTGTTTATTAAGCAGCAATTGCGAATCGATCGGTAAAGACTTATTCGGCGTAGCCCGCGCCTTTTGCGCCCTTCCCCGACAGACGTCCCCACTCCCCGGCCCCTCATCTTGACGATTCACGGTGTCCACGTTCGCGCTTCAGCAATACTCCAAACACCTCCTCATGTTCGAGTATGGCTATCTAATAATGGTGATCAGTCTGCGTCAGTACCATATACCTCTGACAAGCGCTCATATACAAAATGTAGCATAAGGAACGACAAGTTCCCTCCATCATCGTCGCCATTCTTCACATTAGTTCAAGTAAAGTTGTAGCATTAAGACAGGATCATAATACTCAACCATGACGACCACACGCAGAAACGTATACATCGATGACAGCACAGGGCCGATCAAGCTTGTTTCTGATGCATCTCTCGCACAGGCATTCCACCAGCAGCTGCCCGCCTTCGCCAGAACCCCTCTCGTTTCTCTCGAGGATATCGCCCAAGAACTAGGCGTGAAAGCAGTCTACATAAAAGACGAGAGCAACAGACTAAGACTGCCATCCTTCAAGATTCTGGGTGCATCATGGGGAACTTACCGCGCCATCACGACTGAGTTACACTTACCCGCCGACACGCCCCTTACCGACGTTGCAAAGGCCGCACAAACGAACAGTATCTCCCTCTACGCAGCTACGGAGGGCAATCATGGCAGAGCCGTTGCGGCAATGGCCAAAATCCTAGGAATTCCTGCGCACATCTACGTTCCCAGCAGTGTTGCCAGTGAGGCGGTCACCAACATCGCTTCCGAGGGCGCCAAAGTCATCGTGAGCAACTCTCACTATGATGACGCTGTCTTGGAAGCTTGGCAAGCATCAAAGTCAGCCAAGGGCGGGCTCCTGATCCAAGACAATGCTTTCGCGGGGTACGAGCAGATTCCTGCTTGGATCGTCGAGGGCTACTCCACCCTCGTTCGCGAGGCCGAGCAGCAGGTGGCCGACCACGGGCTGAAGCCGACTTTGATGGTGACTCCAGTCGGCGTTGGATCTCTGGCGCATGCCGTCGTGTCTCACTGCAAGTCAGGTGGACGAGATTACGCAGTCCTATCAGTTGAACCCGATACCGCTCCATGTCTCTGGACGAGCCTGACAGCTGGTAAGCCAGTGACGGTTCATACTTCGAGAACCATCATGGAAGGGCTCAACTGCGGTACTGTCTCTCTGACGGCGTTCGATGACCTTCGTGCAGGGATTGATGCCAGTGCTACCGTCTCGGACTTCGAAGCTCATGAGGCCGTGAAGTATCTCCAGACGAAGGGGGTGAAGAGCGGGCCGTGTGGTGGTGCCACTGTCGCAGCGCTACGGCGGCTTGCCCGAGTAAGCCCACGCCCAACCTGTCTTTCCAAAGACGCTGTCGTGGTATTACTCAACACAGAGGGTCCACGGAACTACAAGATCCCGCTGGACGTGTCCACGGATGACCCAGTCACGTTGACGCAGATCCTCACGTCAATCGACTCTTCCAACCCGGACTTATCTAAGGCTTCAGGTGCCGGCGAAGGCGAGATTGCCCACTACATTTCCGCGTGGCTGCAACATCGCAACTTTGAAGCGCACTGGCTGGAGGAGAGACAAGGCCGACCTTCTGTGGTTGGCGTGCTCCGTGGAACAGGAGGAGGAAAGTCCATCATGCTCAATGGGCATGTTGACACCGTCAGCCTGTCGAGTTACTCGCCGGACCTGGACCCTCTAAGTGGTGAACTGAAGGGGGAGGACGGAGGACGAATCTATGGTCGTGGATGCGCGGACATGAAGGCAGGTCTAGCAGCTGCCATGGCGTCAATGGCTCGATGCAGCTCTACATCACACTCTCCTCTACGAGGCGATGTTATTCTCGCCGCAGTCGCCGACGAGGAGAACTTCTCCATAGGCACAGAAGAGGTCATCAGGGCTGGATGGAGGGCCGATGCTGCCATCATACCGGAGCCAACGAACCAGGAGATGACGATCGCTCATAAGGGATTCATTTGGGTTGAAATCGACATCCTCGGCGTTGCGGCTCATGGATCTAGACCCGAGGATGGTGTAGATGCCATCTTGCTCGCAGGTGCCGTGCAGACGGCACTCCTTGAGTACTCGAAGGCACTGCCTTCTGATTCTCGGCTAGGAAAAGCATCTTTACATGCCGGCCTCATTCAGGGCGGCGAAGAACCATCCAGCTACCCGGAACGCTGCACTCTGACCGTTGAGTTTCGAACCATTCCCGCACAGACTACAGAGAGGATCCTCGAAGACATTGAGAGCATCTTGAGTGGCATCGCCAAGTCTAATCCGGATTTCAAATATGCTGCTCCTCGAATGACCTTCTCGCGGCCTCCGCTTGGGCAGAGCCCTGACGATGAGTTCATCAAGACTTTCGTCTCTGCTACCTCAAAGTGTCTAGGTGAGGCGCAAGAGCCTGTGGCATGTTCTTTTTGGTGCGACGCTGCATTGTTGAACGAGGTCGGTATCTCATCGGTTGTCTATGGTCCCAAAAGCTTTGGGATCCATGGCAAGGAGGAATGGGTGAGCGTGGCGAGCCTTCGGGAAGTGGCATCGGTGTTGGAGACCGTGATTCAAGACTTTTGCGCTTAGATATCGACCCAGGATCATAGATAGGCTAAAGAAGGCGAAATGAATATAACTGCATGTGCTATCCGAGTCTACTGCTCAATGGCTATTGCATATCTCGATCAACAAGCTTTTCCTTGTCACCTCAGGGCTCTCGCTAGCTCAATCCCCTCGTAGCTTTCAGAGTTCCTCAATGTGTGCCTGCTTGTTCCCTGCGTAATCTCGTCCATTGCGTTGTATCCAATTCCAGTCTCGTGAGCTTTCATGGCGGAGTTGGTGGCCGTCGATGGACCCATGGCTAGCAGAACGTTACGATTCGTCTCTTCCTCTATCTTCCTTCCTTCCTCTAGAGTGTTCATGCCAATTTCTGTTGGGAAGGCACTCTGTCCATCCGACTTCAAGTATCCATTTCTCTCATCCGATCTCGACGTTGCGTACATCTCCGTGAAAAGGACTCGCAGAACCGGGATAGATGACGCAACGATTGTGACGTTGATCTCGGCTTGTCCCCATATAAAGAGCAGAGATAAGCGATCTGCAAAATAATTAGAGAGATCCACGTGGATATCAGGAAGGTATTCCGATGCTCACATGGTATATCTGCGCCCTCGGCAATAGTCACTATTTTGATGACCTTGATCACCCCGACTAACCCTGCAATGACACCGAGGCTCATAGCTACAGCAACACCAATCTTTTCATGGCGCTTCAGGCCTAGTCTCCATATCATTGGCCATGGGAGCAGAGACAAGATGAAGTCAACCAGTGCCGAGTATGCTGAAATCATACGTTAACTTGCTATTTGCAAATATCCATCTCATTTCACCTGTTACTCACCATTCGACACCATGTGCATAATGACCGAATCCTCAACTCGCCAGCAAGATCCGGGTAGGACAGCTTCATAAGAGTCTGACGGCCTGTCGCAGGCCGCCTTCCAAGCGACAACAGCGCTAGTTGCCAAGACTGCGTTCATGGATATGATCAGAAACCAAATGAAAACCTTCAGTTTCCCAGACGCAATGCGCAACATTGTGACTGCAAAGGACGTTTTGCTGAGGGCCAAGGCGACCTTGTTCATGACGACGTTGACAGACGACAGGGTGAAAATATGGGCTGAGAAATCTAGGGACTTTCCGAACCCAAGTCTCATAAGCTCTGTGGTGAGAGACGTCGAGACTAGCAGGAATATCTCCAGAGATCCATCGTCAGCAATGAAAGCTCCACCAACGGATCAACAAGCCTCTTACCCAAGACGCCACCAAGAGATAGTCATCTGTCCATAAGCCACGGGATCTGATCTTCTTGCAGTAAACACGACAGAACAGAAAGACCGTCGACACCGAAATCATAGCCCATATCGAAGCGACAACCCTAGGCGCCGGATCTTTTGAAACGTCAATTACGAATGGCACCGTAGAAGAGACATTTCGCCCGAGAAGGCCTGCTAGACTCTTCGAGCTCATTGTGCGGAGGTATGTGAAGACGCTGGAGGAAACAAAAACGGCAGACCGGAAACTTTTCACGGCAGTGGTTTTCACTGTTGGGGCTCATCTTAGATTAAAAAGGCAGATTTTCCGCTTCCGATGAAGATGTCAAGTCTTTTCGGGAAAAAGAAACAGTTTCGCTTCCACTTCCCCATCACACGTCAGGGCCGAAGCTCAAAAAATAAAGAATACAGAAGACGCCATCCGGCAACATGTTCTGAGGCAACCGAGCGAACTCTTGGATCATGTTCGCGTAGGGGGCCAGACCTCAGTGAATCAATGCAAGGATGCCATTCACATCAAAAAAAGAAATACCATACCAAAATTTGGGATAGTAATCCTCGGCCGCCCCGCACGATGTGAGTGATCATTGGCCACCATAATTATTTGAGTGACCAAGCCTCCCGACGGGGACTAGTCGATACTAGGGAAGCTACGTGCATCACAAGCTTGACATCGAGTGTTTGATGCCATCTCGTCTCGGACTTCGAAGTGAAACAAGGCCTCCAGAAAACTAGAAGAAAATGACAGCAATTCCATGAAAGATAGCTTTGCTGGCACGCTGGGCAGGCAAATCATAAATCATAATACGCTTGGGCAGATTTTTGACTGACTACTGACAAGCTTTTCACCACGCAGTTCAGCCTAGAAGTGTCATTGATTCTTGATGTGTCTGATCGCTGATTGGTGATGAGATTCTCGGCGAGACCAGGATTTCGTAGAGATCCCGTAAGATGATCTGCCACTGTTGCCTTGCACTTATTAGCGTGATGAAGACGTCTTTTGGAGGGTTGCATGTCACACCATTGAATCCTTAAGCATCTTTGGCAATGCACTGAGGCGATGCAAGATCGCCCCTGTGGTTCAAGAATCATTGGGACGATCAGCTTTCGTACATGTATACTAGGTAAGATCTGAGACTCCCGTCGCATCTCATGAAATGGTCCCGGATGCTCCGTCCCGGCAGGTTGGTCTAGAATCTCTCTCTCCGCTGATGCCTTGCATCATGCTAGCTGCATTGCTAGTCTCAAGCTAGTCTTTTCTGGCCCTGCAGCTTTGACAATCTATTCGTTGGCTTTTCTGGAAGTTTTTGCAGGACTCGCAAAAGGAAGTTCTCGAGAATTGACCAACCACCCTGCTCAGTGACCCTTGTAAGTGGCGGCTGGAGTTAGACACACCACGCACGTTGGGCCGTAAAAAGTACACTAGAGAAACGTTGATAACCATTTTGCCCAGTTGCTGGTCAATTATCGCAATGATCTCTCTCCGTCGCAGAAGATTTTCTCACGTGATACGTTGAAGACTAATTGTCACAGAACGGACATTGCTAAATCAAATTGTCACCCCTCATGAGGTGGGTACCGAGTCCTTCTTTAGAGGCTCACTCAGACACCGTGTTCTCCGGCCAAGCTGAGGGGCATGCGAGGCTGATTAGAATTTCTTGGAATAGCGTGACTTGAGTGAAGCTACGTTTTCTGCATGCATGATACTAAGAAAAATGCCTCAGATCTTAATGCAAGCTAGCTTTCAAGCCTGCCAGTTCTAGATCGCATACAGCTTCTTCAAGAAAGGCCATTCCATGTGTTCAGATCTTTCGTCCAAAGGTGCGGAGCTGAATAAGGTAATTTCCATTGAGTTCTCGGCCCCACTACGGGACCGAGTGGTGTGCTTATCGATAAGCCAGACGGACCCGAAGCTGGCGGTAATCGTCGGCAGAATATTTGCTGTCTGAATTGCGACACTCGGGTTTCTCTCGAAGCTCCAAATGCATGTCTCGCACCACGGATTTCCGATATTAAACCCAAATGCTGCTTTGCTTGCGTCGCACGTGGGCGCGGCGTCCTCCCTTACAATGTCTAGCGCAGACACCCGGTAGACGTGCTGCCGCGACCAAAGCCACGATCGCCTCAACCGTTCTGAAGGAGACAACCCCGACAGCGTCAAGGTTGGCTGAAACGGGACTTTGGTCGATGCCATCACGTTCCAAGAAGGCGGCAAAGGGCAGTGCTGATGCAAAAAAAGTCAAGGCGAAGAAAAAGGCAAAGGGCGACAAGTCGCGTGTCAATGTCGTGGACGAGAAGCTATGCGGTGCGTTCGTATTGTCCGTATTCAGTCGCATTGCAAACCAAGACGCTAATTGGGATTCCCACCAGATGATATCCTCAAATACATAGGCCCTACACTCGAAAGACATGTTGGCTGCGACTTGATTGACATCAACCCGGGCGCCGGCGTCTGGAGCCGCAAGCTCTCCGAGGTCCTCCAGCCGCGCACTCACATCCTCATGGAACCCGACGAGGACGTTTACAGACCCTTCCTCGAGCCGCTACTCGAAAACCCGAATACACAACTGATACCTCAGTCCGGAATCCTCTGGAACGAGCTGAACGAGGTGCTCGGCCACATCCAGAACCAGGTCCCTCAGCCCAAGGGTCCTGACATCGAGCCTACGCGCAACGACACCCTCCTCGTGACGGCGAACCTCTCCTTCTTCCCCAAGAAACGTTATCGCAACTTTGATAGCGTCGCCGCAATGGTGCTCTTTCAGCTCATCAGCAGCATCCGCACCGGCACACTTTTTCAAAAATACGGCCTCGTGCGCATGCTGGTGTGGGCCAACAACGACGACCAGCGCTCATTCCTGGCAAGAAACATCCAAGGGCGGCGCAAGTCGGCGATTGAGGCTGAGTTTGCTTGCGAGTGGCTCGGCGTAGTGGCCGGCACGGAGGCGCATTCGAATTCGGACTCCAAGAGAGACGTCTGGCACGTTCGCGATCGATGGATTGATATCGACAGCACAAGGGACGCACTAGAAAGGATGAAGAAGAATGGGCTGGAGATGCCAGAGGGACGAAAGTTAGAGTCTACAACGCAGGCCGAACAAGGAGCTATCGGCCCTGGGCCCCACGCAGGCGTGCAAACGCCGCATCTCAGCCGGCCCTACGTGGCGGAGCTGAAGGAACTCGAAGACGAGTTGGCGGCCGGCACCATGGACACGTCGAATTCATCAAAGTCTTTCAAGCGCCTGAAATTCCTGCGGCACACACTGAAAACCCAAGAGGAAGACGCCGAGAGCAACACGGCCCTCTTAGCGGAGATGTACGAGCTCAGCCGACTGCGTGCAACCAAGGCCATCTCGGACGCGGAGCTGAGGGAGCGAGAACAGGCGTGGGAGGCCAAGGTCTCGTCAATGGGCAAGAACTTCCTCATCGACTTCCGCGTCATCCGGGACAACTTGCACATCTTTCGGCAAGACCCGCCGGTGATGCTTTGGGACAGGCGACCCTACGAGCCGCTTGCCGTCAACCCCGACGAGTTCTTCCCCAACGTCGAGTGTTGTCTATTAGATATCCAGCCCAAGGCGATGTATCCGCTCCTCCGGCAGTCCGGGCCGGGCACCTCGCGAGCAGGCGACATGTTTGAGCTGTTCCGGAGTTCCATGCTGGCGCAGGGCCTGGAGCCCGTCAGCAAGTCTTTGGAGCGCATCTGGCCCGGGGCGGCGGAGGGCATCTTGCCACACTGCCCTAGCCTGCGGGACCCGGACCAGGGCGGACTGACTGGAACGGGGCACGCGGAGCTCTGTTCGAGAGTCCTGAGCGAGAAGCAGTGGATGGAGCTGATGGAGGCCTTCATGGCATGGCCATTCCACCCAACGTACGAGGAGATGATTGGGCGATTGGCGGACGACGTTGAGCCCTCCGACGATGATCACAACGCCGGCGGCAGCAGCATGTCGACGGATGCGGCATTGGCGTAAAAGGCTCCATGAGAGAAAGCAGGCATCTCGTGCTGCCATGGCATCAGGGGTCCGGCGGGAGCCGCGGGCAGCACTCATGATTCACTAAACCTGTATAATTATGTACACAACCCCTCTGTATCTAGTACGTATATCGTAGGCTACACCCATCTGGCATATCCATGTACTATCATAATGTATGTAGTATAAAACTTCACAGGAAAGAAACATGGAGGTGATGCAGAGTAACCTGGTAGGTTGTTTTCCGATCACACATTGACGGTAGATGGAGAGAATTGTCAAATCTCGGAAAGTCTTTCGTCAACGCCTAGCTCCTGACCCATGAATGTGTTTGCGCAGTCAAAGACTCGTAGTTGGCCTAGAATTGTATTTGTCCGCAGTGATCGCTTGGGAACATTATATGTGAAGCGCATTGCACACCTGCCTTGATGCATCTAGAAACGGCCGAAGCATTCAAATCTAACGGTGCTCGTCAATGTCAGGGGTCCAGGGTCGGGAAACACCCAGAACAGCTTTCGGGAAGAAGCGCAAGGGATGCACGGTGAGCCGCGATGAGGGAGTGCGGGGGCTGCGTAAGCCGCGTCGCGGGTGAATAGAGGTTGAGGGCCAGATAGATGGACCATGACGACACTGGACAGCACTGAATGGGGATGAGCTTGTTGGAACTTTGGAAAGTGAAAGCACGGCTCTGAGTCTTCTGAGAGCGATGTCTGGGATCGGGAATGACGAGCAGACGGTCTGATGAAGGCTTGCGCAAATAAATGGGGAATCGTGTGCCTGGCTCCCAGAGTGTGATTGCAACGTGGACTGAGCAGGTTCTTCACAAGTTGCAGGAGGCTATGCTCACGACTTCCTGGGTATGTCTTATTATGAGTATACGCGTCCGCCGTGCATTTAATTACATGTTGGTTTGCTTTTGGTTCGTGATTCGCGGATAGACAGATGAGCAACATGGGATGAATGTGGTCACTGGTAGCACTGTAGCACAAACAGACTGACACGCGTGTCTTCTAAACGTTGCAAATTGATCCCACGTGGGGTTTCGAGGGGATGGGGAAGACCCGCACTCGGTTTCTCGTCATCTCATACGTAGTACACATAACTGTGAGATGACAAAGACACTTCACTGACGAATATTCAGAAGTTCAAGTGATGAACTAATCAATGAAGAGTCAGGACTGGGGATGAAAGGTGGAGTTTCGGCTCTTTGTCACACCTCGATCGGGGTGGCAGCGGGACTAAATGGCCACCAGTTCCCAATTTCCCATTTCCCGGTTCTCATCTCTCATCTCTCATTGCCGTCCGTCCATCATTATCCAACGGCGACAGATTCGTTAGGACGATGCATTGGAGACAAGACATATATTCGTACCACTCACTGTACTGCGTGTATGTGAGGGCGGATGTGCTCAGGGGTTGAGTCGCACAGCAGGAGTGCATGCTGTGTAAAAGCTGGATCGTCGGGCCCCCCCTGCCTGTCAGTCTAAGCGCTAGAAGAATCGCTAGCTCAGGAGCTTAGCACCAATACCGAGCGCCGAGCAGCACGTTGCCCCTTGGGCTAGCAGAGGTTGGCGCACGCGGCGAAGCTGGGAGAGGTCTCGTGGCTTCAGATACAGGCGCCACTTGTTCTCGATTGAGATGAGACATGTTGTAGCTTGGACTTGGCGTTGATGGCGAGGAAGCCAAAGTGCATCTTTCTCTCTAAGGTACTGCACACTAGGTACCTACAGTAAGGTACTAAAGTAAAGTAGTACGAATAGCGCGAATGTCCTTCCCGCAGCCCCTTACCCCTGGACCCTGGCGATAGAGTGATGGCTCTTTGTCCAAATGTTTCATGTTTTCTCTGGAATGCACGGCAACGGTTTTGGCTGTGCTTCTTCAAGTGACGTGCGCCCGATATAGTCCCCAAGTAGAGTACGGATACTGATGCATCGCGATAGAGGGTGGAACTTGGAGGTGATTGCAGTAGGTACGTATCTGGGACTCGTGGTCAGCAAGTGAAAGTGTTGCATAGGTACTCAAGGTAGTCAGTCATATCCATACACCAAGATGAACTCGAACATGTAGCTATTCATCAGGGTGAAATACCTAGACCCCTATTTATTTTTCGCCAATTATGTTGTCATGACACACAGAACGGTTCCTGGATGGCGCCCCCTTTTCGCCGTTTTCACTTCCACTAAGGCCAAGACTAAGGTAAGGTACCTGAGCCCGTCAATTTAGTCAGGCCGTGATAGTAGTACCGATACTCGTCGTTGCGACAACTAGGTACCTACCCAAGGTCAGTCAGAACTTCTGCTATTCGTACAAACCGAGTGTTGTTTAACCTCTGAAACTGTCTATTAGGAGGAAGCAAAGAAACCCACGTCAACTGCCGGGGAACCGAAAGACTAAAGTGGCTCAATCCGCTGCCTCCCACCATTCTCCTGAGGTAAGGGTAAGATAGGTATCTAAGTACCAAAGACCACGACTCTAGACTCTGGACTTCAGCGAGACACAGTACCTAGTGAAAGCAAGCCCATTCAAGAAAAAGAAACGAAAAGATAATACTCCGGAGAACCAAACCACACATGCTGAGTACATTACCTGCCTTTACTCCGCCCAGACTCCAGACTCCAGTGTACCTACCATCTGTCCAAACCTTGGGATCTCCCATGCTTACTTGAAACTTGTCTGGGCGTCACCTTCTTCCAAGTTCCCCCACCCGCACAGCCCACGGTCCACTGTCCCGCAGCCCAAGCGCTCGGCAGCATCTACGCAGTACCTATACATCATCACCACAATATTCCAGGTTCATCATCAGCATCAGCATCAACATTCGGACCTGCATCAAGCCTCTGCAGCCCCCCTTCGAGCACATGTCTACCGCCCCCATCGGAATCTTCCAGTCTTCTCCCAACAACCATCAACTTCTCCAGCTTCCTCCGATTGACCTGGATCTTTCATCTTTCCCGTCCTCCCGTATCCCGACCGTCTCATCCCATCCCGTCCCATCCAACTTCACGGATATCCACACCTCCATCCACAATCCACATGCGCAGAACGGATACTCCGTAACACCGCCCATCCATCCATCCACCTGCCTCAGACATCATAGGTAGCTGCTACCTTGCCCCATACCTACCTTACCTCAGATCAGCATCTCCACGTTGTCGCCCATCTCACTTTGCCGTCACTGCGCCTTCCCATCTGCCGTACTCTGCGTACTGCGCACTCCCGCATCCCTATCCGAACAAACACCCGCTGTCCCCGTCACTTTGGTCCAGTTTGCCTTCGAATACCTACAGCACCAACTTCTAGTCGTCCTCTGTTGGCACTGAGTTACCCACGGACCAGTCCTGTGCACGAAGCCGCCTCTTCCCTGTTCCGACATCCAATCTCGACCTCCTCGTCCTTCAGTCCACCTTCAATGGCACTGTTCTAACCAGCCGCCCGTCTTCCTCCTTGAGCACTTCTTCTTTTGCTCCTTCTTCCGTCATTCCTTACCTTTCTTCTTCATCCAATCAATCCCGTTTCACTCGGTCGGCTTTCTTCTTCCTTGTAATTTCTCGTGTTCCAACTGTTCATAGAGCTTGGCACCGTTGGGTCCTTCGAATCCCCGACAACCACCTCGAATCGTGTCTCGCGATTTCCGACTGCAACACCCAACCGGCCAACAACCAAGCTCCTGCTCTCCGCGCCTCGAGCCACGCTTTACCTTCTTCTCGATCGCGGTCTTGCGCTACCGCTCGCTTGTTGAACTGGCCTGGCTGAGCCGGCTGCCAGGCCTCCTTCATCCGATATCCGAACCATCCTTCCACTCGAGTCCATCTTCCACCCCCCCGGGAACGACTTGCGACGATACCCAACCTCACTACCCCTTCCCACGACCCCGCGACCACTCGACACCATGGTGAAGCTCATTCCACCATCATTTCCGCCCCGGCGGCCTTCGAGCTTCCTCCGCTACGCCGCCGCCGTCATCTTCTTCGTGGCACTCTTCTACTACTTCGACCCGCGATACCCAAGAGAACCTCTGACACAGCTTCAACCAGAGAAGCCGAAGCAACCCCCGCAGGCACCAGACCCAGTGGCTCCGGCACGGGTTGAGGATGTCACAAAGCCGACAGCTCAGGCCGAGACGACACCGATACCTCCGAAAGCCGATCAAGCATCGCCGGGAGCTAAACCCTCCTCAGCGGGGAATACCAAGGTCGAAGGCGGTGACGATCCGTCAAAAGGACATCCCATCGATGCCTTGATCAAAGATGCCGACGAAACGTTTGATAAGTTGTTGGAGAAGGAGACCAAGACGCTGCCCGCCGCGGCCAAGGCCTACCGCGAGCGACGTGGTCGCCACCCACCGCCGGGCTTTGACGCATGGTTTCAATTCGCCCAGGATCGCAAGGCCGTCATTGTCGAGGACTTTTTCGACCAGATCTACCACGATCTAAAACCGTTCTGGGGCCTCGAACCATCGCGCATCCGAAAAGAGGCGGCTGAGTGGGAGATGGTGATCAAGGTGCGCAAGGGTCGAGCTACCCGTATCAGCGACTGGTTCTGGACCATCCACTGGACAAACATGCTCAAGACGATTGAGCACCTGCTACCCGACATGGACATCGCCCTGAACCCGATGGACGAGCCGCGTATGGTGGTGCCGTTTGAGGATATGGAGCAGCATTTGAGGGACGCTGCCCTGACGGAAGGGATGCCCGAACCGAAAAAGGTTATGAACACATTCCAGGCTCTGCCTAGTAGCAAAAAGGAGCTCGACCGCAACGTCAAGGTCAAGAGCAAGCACTGGGATAAAGTCACGAGTATGTGCCCTACCAACTTCTCGTCTACCCCACCTACAAACTCTTTCTCATGGGACGAACAACACCCGAATACTAACAACCGTCTTCAGAACAGTACTGGCTCATTGCCCGCCGTGGGTGCCCTCCCGACAGCCCTGCTCGACTGGCAAAGACGCAAAGGACCTTTAACCATGCCCCCGCCGTTTCGACAAAGTATGCCAAGCCGCATATGCGCGACGGTTTCGTCTCCAACTACACTCTCTCGACCCATATCTGCCACCAACCCGACTTGCAAGGCCTCAATGGCATCTTCATTGAGCCCCTCAGCACAGCTGCCACGCCTGTGCTGTTCCCCATGTTTGGCGGTTCCAAGCTGGCTGTCAACAACGAGATTCTGCTTCCTGCGGCCATGTACTGGACAGAGGAAGAACGGTTCAGTGGCGGGGGGTACCATGGGGGTCGCTGGAACAAGAAGAAGGACGCGGTGCTCTGGCGCGGCGTCGCAACGGGTGGGCGCAACCGCGTGGATAACTGGCAAGGGTTCCAGCGCCACCGCTTCGTAGCCATGAACAACGCGACCAAGGTCACGGGCGCCGAAGACGGCACGATGGACCCGATCAACTTTTCTCTGCCCGACAAGATGTACAACATCGCAGCGCAGGCGGTGGGTGGACTGGGCGACTGGATCAAGTCGTGGGCCAATGTTGGGTTCACGGATCTCATGTGCGAGCCCGAGGGCAAGGCCGGAACGTGCAACTACACGAGCCCCCACTTCAACCTCACCGAGGGGGTCATGCTCTCCGAGATGTACGACAACAAGTACCTCCCCGACGTTGACGGCAACAGCTTTTCGGGCCGGTACCTCGCATTCCTGGGCAGCACGAGTCTCCCCATCAAGTCGACGCTGTGGCGGGAATGGCACGACAGCCGTCTCGTGGCATGGAAACACTTTGTGCCGATGGACACGCGGTATAACGAATATTACGGCATCATGGAATACTTTTTGGGATACGGCGACGAGAGACCAGGCCACGACGCCGAGGCGGAGAAGATTGCCATGGCGGGCAAGGCGTGGGCCGAGAAGGCGCTGCGCAAGGAAGACATGCAGATTTACACTCTGCGGTTGCTTCTCGAGTACGCGCGCGTTACGGACGAGAGAAGAGAGAGGATGGGCTGGGTGCATGACTTGCTGGCGGAGCAGACATCCAGTTGAGAGAGAGCGTGAGGACGCAGAAAGGATTGTTGTTTCGTCGCATGGATACCACACCGCGGAATACGGGAAGTCAAAAAGGGCATGGCGTTATTTTATCTCTATTATAGTGTTCCGGTCCGTCTCTTTGGGGAGTTTTTGGTGTAACTCGCAAGGGCCCCTACTTGTCAGCCTTTTTATGGGTGTTTTGAGACTTTTGTCTACGGATCCTACCGGGACTGACTCCCTCAAACGGGAGAATGAGGAAAGCATGAAATCGGCATCATTCTAGGTATTGATATAACATAGGTCATGTATGCTGCATGGCAACTAGTACATACCACTGCCAGGTCTAGCGGCGCATCAAAGTGCCATGTGCATGTGAATGTGAGGGTGGTATTGCATGTTGCGAAGATGTCGGAGGCAGGTTCCGATCTTACTTTTTACATGACGTGAAAAAGGAATGGCTCGGTCTTCGGAAGGCAATCCCGTAGACCGGAGACGACGTCTGCCGCATGTTGCCGTTCATAGGCGAGCCGCACGAGGAGCTATGGAGTAATAATATCTTGAATCTCATTGAGCTGCCGATAGCTTTAATCAACTGGTCCGTGTACAGCAGAGGTAAGTCATTTGATCACTTTCACGAGACACATGGCGGGAGGATTGGAGACGCGGCTACGAGTCATAATCAAGTCCAACCCGCCAATGTAGTCGTTTAGGGTGCAGACGATTACGCGATGATAAGGCAATTTCGAGACGAGAGAATGCGCCTCTTTTACGTAAAGCCAGGGAGCGTCCTTGCTTCGAGGGCCTTTGGGCAGGTGAGGGGTATAATCGGGAGAGACAATGTAAACAGGCAGATGAGAGTTCTTGTGCTACCTGCTCAAGCGCGGGAGCTAGCGGGTGAGAGTGACAGCGTGCTTGCGTTGAGAGTTGAGCCCATTTCCAGTCTTCCGAAGGATGTATCTATATCTGGGAACTGTAGACGGGGGTAAAGTTGAACTGGCCGGCGGGCGGGCTAGGCCCCGGATAATAGACGATGGGAAGGACGTCATGCGGCCACCCCTGGGAACTGATTGATAACAAGAAACGTGAAAAGGACAAGGTAAGGTAGTCAAATGGTCAAATGGGGGACGAGAATCTGAGGTGAGAACATGGGGGTCGAGGGATGCCGGCCCGGGCACGAGTCGCTGAGGCTTTCAGTGTGAGATGAGAATCGAGATGCAGCAGCGGTGCGGGTCCGTGACGGGCAGGGCCCTGCTGCCCTGGTTAGTGACTCGTGGGAGGAGGGGAGGGCCTCAAACCGCAGTGGCACAATTGGGACCTCGGGTCTAGCACACATTGTACGTAATTGAATGTACTCTGGGCGTATCAGACTTGGGAGGGCACTTCACGGCCAGATAAGAGGCATGTCTGAGAAGAGACGAGACCAATCGATAAGGCATGAAAGGTGCGAACCTCGGAAAATCGACACCTGGCTGTCTTTAGTAGTTTTGCACTTACCCAACCTCACCTTAGGTAAGGCAGGCAATGCAGGTAAGGTAAAGGCAGGTAGGGGAAAAGAGAAGATAATGGAGAGAAAATGGCTGCAGTCCGGATACCTTCGATTGCTCTGCCTTGGAACGGGTGGTGGTGGTGGTGGTGGTGGTGGTCCGCATCACCCCCTCTTTCTCAACAAAAAAAGAGCAGAGAAGAAATGAGAAAAAAACTCTTTTTTTTCTCTTCTCACTCCCGTATTCCGAAAAGACCGAGCTTCCGTCCGTGATTTTCTTGGTTGTGTGAGTGTCGGGTGTGAGATTGTCATGCGCCTTCGCGTCGCCCTGCCATTAGGGAACATCACCAAGTCCCGGAGGCGGTGATACTGGTGAAGTGGACAGCGGACGTGGGCGACGGGCCTCTTTAAATAATGCCTCGCGCGTTTTTCCGCCGGGTCACCTGCCGTTAAGTGGCACACCTCCGGGCGCGCCAGACCCCTAAGTGCAGGTGCTCCAGCGGTGGTCCAGCGGGCCCCAGCGATGTGCGGCGCTACGCCCGCCGACCGTGGGCCCCATAACTGTCCGGGGCTCCACTGATGTTCCCCTAAGTGCAGGTCTACCCGTGGTGGGGATGTTCGGGGGTGGACCGTCGACCTTCGTGGAGGGGCCCAAGGGAGGTTCAGGGGTCCGCAGCCTGGAACACGCTGGTGTCATTGCCGTCCAGTCGCCGTCGCCGTCGCCGTCGCCGGTCTTCACTCTTACCTTAGTCTTCAGTAAGGTGCGAGGTGTCTTACATTCCTCACCTTTCCATTGTGTCCGGTAGCGTCTTCTACACAGCTACACAGCAGAAATCTTCCGTCTTTTCCACAATCCACCCCGTCCTCGTCCGAGTTCCCCCCTTGGCCAGGAATGCGCGCGAATGCTTCCTTTCCCATCAGCCCTAGGCGCGCTAGCCATCCCATGACCGAGGCGGCCATGTTCATGGATGATGGCTGTACGGAGCAAGGTACTTCGTGGCCCGGAGCCCTTGGTGTCGCCGGTGACGGAAAGGCTTTAAACATACCTTGATTGCCCGTCTTCTGCTGATTCAAGACTCTCTACATATAATACTTCCCAGCTTCTACCCTCCTCTCAAACTCTCCTCCTTCTCTTCCTCGTCTTCTTCTTCTTCACTCCAATCTCTTACCTTGATCACCCGCCCATATCTTGTCACTGAACCAAGGTCAGCGCCACCATCGTCAACTCTCACCTACCACCACATTCCCCCCCCACCACCCGCAATCACAAAGTTCGCACTCGCGGCGCATCGCAATCATGGTTCAGAACACATCAATGGTCACGTCCAAGTTCCTCAGCAACCCCGAGGACCTCGGCGTTGTTGCTGTTGGCTTCTCTGGCGGACAGGTAAGCATTGCCCTCAGCCTACCCTCCCAAGGCAACGTAGAAATCTGACCTTCGCCTGCCTGTAGTGCAAGAAAGGCGTCGACGCCGCCCCCAAGGCCCTCATCGAGTCCGGCCTGCTCACACAGCTCCGCGACGAGCTGGGCTACAAGCTCCACGGCGACGATGAGGTGCACCTCTACACCGACCTCGTACCCGCAGACGATCCTCCCTTCCGCAACATGAAGAACCCCAAAGCCGTGTCCTCCGTGACGGAGCGCATCGCCGACCAGGTCTACCAGCAGTCGCGCCTCGGTCGCCTGACCCTGACCCTCGGCGGTGACCACAGCATTGCCATTGGCACCATTGCCGGCTCCGCAAAGGCCACCCGCGAGAGACTCGGCCGCGAGATTGCCGTCATCTGGGTCGATGCGCATGCCGACATCAACACCCCCGAGACGAGCGATAGCGGCAACGTCCACGGCATGCCCGTAGCTTTTGTCACAGGCTTGGCCAAGGAGTCTAGACCCGAGTACTTTGGCTGGCTCAAGGACGAGCACATGTTGAGCGTCAAGAAGCTGGTGTACATTGGTTTGCGCGACGTGGATGCCGGCGAGAAGAGGATTCTGCGCGAGAATGGCATCAAGGCGTTTAGCATGTTTGACATTGATAGGTACGTCCCCTCCCTTCTCTTGCACTTTCTTTTCCCTTGCAAGCTTCTGACCGTTGTAACTGACTTCATCTTCTTTCAGATATGGCATCGGACGCGTCATGGAGATGGCGCTGGCGCACATTGGCAACGATACCCCCATTCACTTGTCATTTGACGTTGACGCTCTGGACCCCATGTGGGCGCCATCAACGGGCACCCCGGTCCGCGGCGGTCTTACGTTGAGAGAAGGTGACTACATCTGCGAGTGTGTGCACGAGACTGGCAGCCTTGTTGCGCTGGACCTGGTCGAGGTGAACCCGTCACTCGCGGCCGAGCAGGAGGGCGCGGCGTCTGAGACGGTAAGGGCCGGCTGCTCGCTTGTGCGCTGCGCTCTGGGAGAGTCATTGCTCTAAGCTGCTAGCTGGAGCGTGCGTGGGACAGAAGGGGAATGATACGGTCATGAAGGGATTCTCGACTTCTGGCAGAACCAGGGCTGCTGATGGAGAACGGCACGGGCTGCCTATCTATGGTTGTGGGAACACAGGGACGATTAAACGGAACACGGAGGCAAAGTGAATTTGGCGCATAGCGCAATAGAAGACAGAACAAGTGAGGTAGCCAGGGAAACTGGTACGGAGTCAGACACGGGGTTGAGGTAGATATATACCAACGAATAGATTTATGAGCCGACCTTTCGTTGTCATGATTGATGCTAGGTAAGGTACCTTGGTATAAGGTCCCTTTGGTAACTCATTAAACCAGCGATTATTCAAAAGTTTCCGATTTATACAATGCAATCACGTGGCTCAATTCCAAGGTCTCAACGACAACACAAAATTCAATTAGGCATAACGACGTGTGAAGTGGAAGGCTGAAGTCGTGAGGTGGTTCGGGTGTACCTTGTATTGGACTTTGAGCCTCGGAAACCTGGGCCGTGGGTGGCTGGCAGTGACAGCACAGAGGACCCCACTTTCCTGCTCACGGATGAGATGTGTCGGTACCTTACGTGCTTACCTAAGGCTAAGGAAGGGACGGAGTCGGGATACCTTCCATTCGCCCAGCCATCGCCATTTCCAAATGGAAGGAGAGATCAATTAATGTACGGTGTATCCATACCTTGCCTTGACTAAGGCAAGGTACCTATTCCCTATTCGCAGATGAGAGAAGGCTCGCCCCCAGTCACAATTTTCAAATCTACAACATACATACATTTCATAGACGATTTCTCAAATCGCAGTACATAATCTTCCCCGTCTAACCATCAGGTAACTACGGCGTAAATACGACATACTTTGGTTTGACGTGGCACCCTCCAAAACAGCCGCCGCGCCAACACCAGGGCAACCCACACCATCCATTCGATCCGTCGCAACCACGCCCACCTTACCTTGCCTTGGGTACTGTGCAGGAGTCAGGCCGAGTTCTACCTGATTGCGAGGCGCTCAAAAGCCGTTCCTGCTACCAACCCTGCCCCTCTAATAAGACGAACCCTTTGGCACCCGACGAGACGAACCGAGCCCACCTTTCCGCTCGACGCAAAATACCCAATCGACGCGATTGCCGCACGCGCATTGGCGATAGCATCCTGCCCAGCCTCGCCGAATGAACAGAACCCGAGAATTCGGTACCCAACGTTGCCCATTGCGCTACTCGCCCCCGCCGCTCATCCCAGCGAAAACCCAGAACCATCGACAGACCGAGAGCATCGAGCACGATCGATTAAATACCGATATTGGAGACACCTCCCCGTGCTCCATTCCGAATCTCAGCGACAGTCGGAATACCTAGGCGACGCGATCATACCCGACCAACACCAGCCCATCATCAGTAAATCGAACTACAAGCAGCAAATTTAGGCACAATGGTGGCGTCGACACTGACGGGCAGCTCCCTCTACGAGAGGCGCGTTGTCGAGCGCGTCCACCGCTACCAATGGCCCGGCATTCAACTCAACCTCTGGATCCTTGTCATGCTTGTCGCCGCCTGCCTCATCATCGGCGTCTTTGCGTCCTTCATCGAGACGCAGCAGCAACTGCTTCTGCCCATACCCTGGTGCGTGATTCACACTGCTATCTCTACCTCGCCCTCGCATTCCGTCATTTTCCCATATGCGCCTGGCCAAATGGCATGCTACGCTTCAATGACTACGCGGAAAGAAGAGGGTTCCCGGCCAAGAGATGAACTCCGCGAGACGATGCCAATGCTAACATGATGAACCATCTTTCTTCCGCGACAGGTACTTTCCCTACTACATCACCGTCGCATGCCTTGTAATCCTCTTCATCGGCCTCCTCCTCTGGCTAGTCTTCCAGCGTCGTCTCCTCCCAGCCATTGTTATGATCGGCGCCTTCATCCTCTTCATACTATGGTTCGTCGGTCTTGTTGTCGTGAGCATTCAGCTCTGGGGACCCGACGGATCCGTCTCGAGCACGTGTAACCTCGCCGTGTTTAACCGGAGCCCGACGGGGCAGAGTCTAGACACCCTCGCTTGGCTGGAACAGAGGAGCATATGTGCGTTCTCTCCTTTCCCCTACTTGCTCTCTTCTTGGTGTGATGCCTATTTGTTTCTTCTTGGATTTCGAGAAAAGACTTTGTGAACCGGAGGAATGCTAATATTCGAGATCGTGATGTAGGCCAGGCGTGGCAGGCGGTGTTTTCGTTCGCGCTTGTTGGTGCCATTTTCCTGCTTTGGATCATGGTCATGGCCTACCAGGTGTTTGCCAGCTCGTGATGAAGTTGGGCTGAGGCACAATTGTCCCGGGAATTATCATTCTCGTATGGACGTATTGCTGCGTAGTGTCGACGATGAAGACTCGAGTCGCATCCTGGCCGCAACGTATATTTTTTGACTGTATACAACTGCGTGAGGGATACTCGACATACTCAACCATTTTCTGGAATAATCTTCTTTCGGCATTGTCCGACACAACTCGACATACATACGGAAACATAAACGGTATCTAGTTTCGACAGTCTTATCGGCCGGCACGGACATATTGCCAGTTTTGCTACAAGAGACGAATTTACGAGTATGATCTGATGGGTTTAATGGTTAGAGTCGCCGTCGGAGCGGGGTCATCGTTCTCTTCCTTGGTTTCGAGCAACTGCACATATAGGCGTTTGGTGATTTTGGACGGGGGTTTCGCACCAGCTAATGTTTTGTGACTGGACCGCATGATTGCCTAGCAAAGGCGCACGAAGATGAGTAAAACGTAAGTATCCAGAAATGACGAATTGGAACTTATGGATAGTCGAATGAGGTAGCACAAGAAAGCACGGCAAGGTTTGATGGAATGACAACAGTATATCCTGCATTGCGTTGTAACCGGACTGTGCATACATTCAAGTCGTTGTCTGCTCTTGGACTGGATTTAACGCAGTTCACCCATGGAGCGATCTTGTATGGAGTACATGTTTCCCGTCTGCATTCGTCAACGGAAGCCAAGTATTCAGGTACATACCTGCCTGCATGTAGCCCGGTCCCCGTAGTCCGAGACCGGCATTGTTCAAGATCAACTGCATTTCGTCACTGAGATCGTCGTCACATGATGATTTTGTTGCAAGAAGTGAACGTGGGCAGGTACCTAGACGGTTCGCATAGGTAAGGTAGGTACAAATGTAGCTTTGACGGGAGCGGCTCTTGTTGGCGAATCGAGGCCTAGGCCCCCATGTTGATCTGACATGACGTAGCCAGCTGGCGGGGACACTGGTACGGAGTACACACACCCAAACACGGTCATACAGAGGCTCAGATTGAATTTCGAGACCTTTCACGCGCAACCATCTCGAGTGCCCTGGGCAAGTGCATGCGTTGGTTTGCCGTTCAGCCGGGCAGGCACCTTGGGAATGTCAGACAGACAAGGGTACCTTAGCTCGAGAGATAGGCTCGATTTTCAGCCTGCCAAGCATCTTGGATTGGCATTCTCTCGGGAGAAAACAAGCCATGATGGCAGGAACAGCCAACGGGTGAGGACCCTGAACCTGCTTGGCATTCCGACTGGGTTAACATGACGGGGGAAAGACGACTACGGATTGTGATAAGGTGCCTACCTAGGTAGGTAGATGAGCAGACTCAACATCCGGTTTCTCTTGAACGACGGGTCGGGAGTGCACAAGGTCGCGGTACCTTACAGTCTTGCCTTGGGAACTGCCGGCGAATGACGTAGGCAGGCAGTTGGCTATCTGACTTTGTTCAGATAGGTCAGAAATGGGAGTTGGAACTGGGAATCTGCGCTGCGTGGCTGCCAACTTGGGGGCGAGGGCATGGATTAGGTCATTGGACCCACGGGGACGCGGGTGAGAACTGGGAATGTCTGACGCTAAGGGTGGAAAGCGGGGGAGGGGTCCTTCCTCTAACCAGGTACCTACCTCATGCCGCTCTGGTTGCCTCCCAAGCTCGAAGGTGAAGAACAGGATGGGAAAGGTTTCGTTGGCTGGTCTGGTGGAAGGAGTCTAGATGTATAAAGTTCCCAAGCATTCCTCCCTCTTTTTGCCGATTTGATTCACTTTCATACCCAACAACAAGCCACTCATACAATCCTGTTCTCTAAAGAGCACCACCTCAACCAACTTCCACATCACATAAACTACAAACTACAACCATCACCATGGACAAGCTCAAGAACCTCGCCTCCGGAAGCTCTGGCAACACCGCCGCTGCCCCCGGCCAGCAGAAGCAGGATCCCGTCGATAAGAGTAAGTTTAGATACTCATGACTCCTACATTGGTTCGAACCCATCTGACATGTTTGTAGTCTTCGATGCTGGCTCCAAGAAGGCTGGACACGACTTCTCTCCCAGTACGGACGAGAAGATCACCGATGCTGGTCGCGGAATCTACGAGAAGGTGACCGGAAAGAAGGTCAACCCCAAGATTTCCAACTAAATGTACAACATATATTTTGGTCACGACTCTTTTACGACAATGGGACGATTGCGGCTATGATATCATACCTCCCATATAGCTTTTAATGAACCACATTACCATTATGTCTTTGTTCCATTATACGAGCTGGTTGGACTCACCACAGCCGCAAGCTTGATGAATTTGTAAACGTACGGTCAATAGTGTATACTCGTCTTCATTATATGGACATAGTGTTTGCTACATTCATTGTAACAGCCCAATTGCGGCGGACGCAGCCGACAGGATGATATATGGCTGTAGCTAGCCACGAAAATAAAGTACGGTCCAACGTGGGAATGCCAATGGAGACCGTTCTTAATGTTACTGGACCTACCTGAATTCCATGAGATTGGCCGGTGTGGTACCAGATATTCACGAGGCATGGTTACTCCGAATAAATCCGCCCAAACCTAGGTTGAATCTTGGTGGAGGGGAGCGATCATAGCAGCGATCTGCCTACCGTAAATGTGAATGTGCATGCTATGACTGGAAACAGCCATTGGTGACCTTCGAAGCTTGGGAGATGGTCTGGACCTTCTCGTCATCTTAGGTAAGCATTCACTTCCTAGCAGCCTTACGTAAGGCTGCAAGCGGGACGGGTATGGCGGGATGTGAAGACCATACGCAGTAGGGTTCCTAAGGTAGGGGGCCAGGACGGGAGTGTTGGAGGCACCCGACCCCAATTGGGGTGGACCGGGACTGTACCCAATCTGCTGGTCTCTAAGCACCTAAGGTAAGGTACGTGCCTGCCAACCAGTTTGCCCATGTTTTTGTTTGTATTCATTTTTGCGGATCAACAGTCCGTCCTTCACTCGTTTCTTCGCATCCCCTTTAGAGGTGCATGTCTAGCCTCGATTGAGAAGCAACTCTAGGATTTTGTATCTTCCTGGCGTGCATCTAGGTACAGCCCATCAAGTCTTGCAGCATCAACCAACACGTTTATCATAGCGAAACTTTGTGTTTACGAGGAAGCACGTAGGATAGAAATTTTTGCTGGTCCTTCCTTGTTGGTGGTTGCGGTACCTTGGGCAAAAAGGTGGTAGGAACACCACCAAACACCTACCTAAGGTAGGTAGGCAGGTACGTGCTTTCTTTCATGATAAGGTAAGGTACATCGGCGTCCTGCATGCGCGTGCGCGTCCGCATCCAATCCCCGACAACCATCTCCTGCCAACGCACATGTTCTGTGCGACACGTTGACTGCGCCATTGTTGCTGTCGCTCCATCCCGATGCCACCACAGACTCGCGACTGACAAGGAGGGAGAAACTCTGACACTTCTTAGCTCAATCGGTTTCTGTTACCTCCAGGTCGTTGCTTCTCTCATCCCTCACCGATCATTGATCACCAGCGCATCTTATCCTTCGAAACGCCCTTTCAGCGCCCACCATCCACAGGCTCGAGCCCCCCTCCCGAAACCGCCAATCATTCCCTCGAGGACCAACGACGGGCGAGACAAAGAAAAACCCACGTCCCCAGCCAGCCGAATGCATCCCCCCAATCGCCTAGCCAATTCCCACCATGGAACGTGATGAGACCCATCACGACGACTCCCGTCCTACTACTGCCCGTCGGGTTGACGACGACGGTGATGATGACACATCGCGGCTCAATCATTCAGGAAGCGCTACCGTTGACGAGTCGCAACATACGCCAACCAAACCCCCTCCTAACGAACAACCTCACAACCACGAACTAGGCCGCAGTACCCCGTCCGGCTCCCGTGCCAATATCGAACACCAAAACGAATCTATGCTCCCTCCACCGCGACCCCAGACCTCCACCGTACCGGACACCAGCTTTGTCGAGGGCCCTACCTTTGACGACTCCTACCATGGCGATTCTTTGGCCGAGTCTGCTGTTCGCGCACATCTCCAGGACGTTGAATCAAGCTTCGTCTCTCGTGTGTCCCCGATCCCCACAATAACCCACGAGGGCACCGACGACACTTACCTCTTCGATGGCGCGGCCGCTTCTTCGAGATCCCCTGCCCCAGCCAGACAACCCCCTGCGAGTCCCAGCCCCAGTCCAAGGCCGAGATTCGATGCGACCCCTGAGGAAGACTCGGCCATCCACAACCTTCCCGAACTGCGACCTCAAGACTCGGCCTCTGCCGACGTCTCCAACACAACTTCTGCCCTGGAGAACATGTCTTCCTCGCCTGCCGCCGCCGCCGCCGCCCGAACAATTTCCAGAGCCCTTTCCAGCGCCAGCAATCGGACCGACAAGCAATCGGGGGAACCCACTCCAGCTGACGACACGGAGGATGAACAGTCTCTATCTCGTGCAGAATCTGCTGCCGAATCTGTGTCGACGACTCTCCGAAGCAAGCGCTCCGACGGCAGCCTGCAAGGAGGCTCTGTGGATGCCGGTAGTACACCTGGCCATTCTCTCCGCTACGGCACGCGGCCTAAGTATCTGCGTAGCCGGGGCGCCAGCCAACGATCTTCCGTCTCCTCTTTCATCACCAACCCCGATACCCACGATGAACTGGAGAGCGAAGGCACCGCGAATCTTGGCGCCGATTTCGCCCTACAATCTGGAGGTGCAGCCGGCACGCTGAGCTTACCCCGCAGTCTCAGCAGCATCCTGTCGCGCTCCGTGAGTATCGGCAGCATGGCCTCGGGCTTGGATGAGCCCGAATCGCTTCCCAGTCAACTCGAGACACTTGAAGAGAACGACAACCGGTTCTCGCCGCGCCGATCAGCCCGAAACGAAGACCTACTTGCCACTCCGAAACCTTCCAAGGAGAATCTTACTGCGCCCACCGATACTGTCATCGCCCGGCATGTTAGGAATGTGCAGGTCCCTGAGTCGTTGGCCATGGAGTACAGGACTAAGAGTGGCTTTGTGACGCCCCGCAAGCCCTCCGACATGCCGCTTGGAGCCTCCACGAGGTCGGGTAAGAACCTGACACTCAAGGAGCAGAGCAGCACCATTGAGCGTCTGTCCAAAGAGAACTTTGACCTCAAGCTGAAGGTCATGTTCCTCAGCGATCGCCTTGACAAGCTATCCGAAGAGGGTGTTAAGGAGATGATCTCGGAAAACGTGGAACTCAAGACGAGCCTCGCCGTCATCCAGCGTGATAATAAGGCCTTGCGAAGGCGGGTCAAGGAGTTGGAGAAGCAGTTGAAAGACGACCAGGACCGCCCCGGAACAGCAAAGAGTGGCGGATCGTCAAACGACACCTCCTCCAACTTGGATGCTCAGGAACGCGAGGAGGAGTTGACATACTTGCGCGAGCGCGTCGAAGAATACATCACTGAGATCGAGAGGCTTCGGAACGATAATATGTCAAAGGAGGCAGAAAAGCGTAAGCTCAGTGAGGTGGTCAGGTCGCTAGGCGAGAGGACCAGCGGCAATCTTGGCAGTCAGGAAGAGGCCGACGTATGGAAAGACCTTCTCGAGCAGGAGACGGCTCGACGCGAACAGTCTGACGAGGACAACCGTAAGCTGCGTGACGAGATTTTCCGCATGAAACAGGAAGCCAGTGGCGGCCACGGTGGCATGCACCACACCACCAACATTTACAACATCACCAAGAAGCACAGACAAGTCTCTCCAAGTCGCCCCGTGTCTGGTCTATCCGGTGATCTTGAAACGAATGGTGGCTTTAGTGCGGCAAGTACTTTGGTGGATGAACTCAGGAGAGAAAGTGAGCAACTACGACACGAAAACGCCGAGCTGAGGCGCGAGGTTGGAGCGCAGACATCCATGCTCACGTCGAGGAACCGTGAAAAGGAGCGGTTATACCAGGAGATTGAGGATCTGAAGATGGCGCAGCGGCGAGGAGGACCGGCACCATCCACGGTGGACTCCCTCCTTGAGCGTTCGGCATCTCGCGCCGGCGCCCACCACCGGTCGATGTCAAGAGTCAGCGCCAGTAGGACGCAAATGACAGAGATTGATGAGCTGGAGCGCGAAGAGTTGGAGAACAAACTCGCCGAAACGCGCGACAAGATTAGCGAGATCAAATTACAGAACCAAGAGCTCCAACGGGAGCTCGAGGGATGCATGGCAGACTTTGAGACAGCAGTCGAAGGTAAGAGCCAAGCTGAGGAAATTGCCGTCACACTCCAGGAAGATCTCGACAATGCCATGAACGACCTCGTGGCTTTGCAGGCCGAGAGGGACGAAGCACTCAGGGAGCAGGCGGATATGGAGACGGAATTCGAGTCGTTGCGGAAAGAAGCCCAGGAAGAAATCGATGCTCTGGAGGGCGAGGCCGACCAACGAAACGACGAGATACAAAGGCTGCAGTTTGAGCTCAATGACCGCACAGAAAACTTCGATGCCCTGCAGGAGGAAATGCGCAAGATGAGCGAAGCGCTACTGGGATTGGAGGACGAGACAGCAGCCAAGATTGGCAGGATCAAGCAACTAGAGCAAGAACTCGCAGAAGCCAACAAGGAGTCAGAGGAGCTCGAATCCAAGCTGCTCGAGTCCAACGACAAGGCTCAGCGGCTCAGCGTACAACAAGAATCCAGCCAGGGCGAAATTGCTTTCTTGCGTGAGGAGCAGGAAGGCGACAAGATCCGCATCGGCGACCTCGAGGCAGCTCTCGCTAATACCGAGCAGAGCTTGCGCGACGAACGCGACAGGATCAAGGAGCTAGAGCAGCGTCTTGTGACCGAGCGTCGCCAACACGAGATGGTTTCCAATCAGGAAAAGGAAGAGGTGACGCAGTTTGTCAACGAGCTCAACCGCGAGATGTCGGCGGCCAAAGACGAAGCCAGGAGGTTGCGTAAGAGTCTCACCTCGCGCGAAGTTGAGGCGACCGAATGGAAGGAGCGGCTCATGGAGTTGGAGAATAATCTCAGAGAGGCACTGGGCGATCTTAACGGGACACGATCCAGCCTTCTCAAGGTAAGCTAGCCAACAAGCCCCATCAGAGACACAGGCACTAACAGACACAGTCCATTGCAAAGCTTCAGCGCGAGCTAGAGAACACCGTTCGCGAGCTGGATACCACCAAGGCCTCGCTCGTTGAGAAGGATCGCATCATTAAGCAGCGCGACGCCTTGCTTGAGTCTCACGGCCTGGAGTCTCGCAAACTTGGGGGAGAGCTCGAAAAGGAGAGACAGGCGCATCGAACGACGAAGAACCAGTTTGAGACATTTCAGAAGACACACTTGCATGTGTCGAGAACTGTCAGTACACAGGACCTACGCATCTCGGAGCTGGAATCCTCGCGGACCCAAGACAAGAAGAAGATTTCGCATCTCGAGGCGACGTTCCGAGATCAGCTTACTGAGCGCAACAACTTGCTGCTTGTACTGTGGACCCGACTCTCGGCCCTTTGTGGCACTGACTGGGCGCACGACAATAGTCTCATCAACGGGCGCGCGCTGCCTTCTCTGGAGGCTGTGGCTACTATGCTGCCCGGCTTCAGCAAAAACTTGCTGGGCGCTATCAAGATGATCGAGACCATGGTGGGTGGGTTCTCGTCTCGCGTCAAGGGCGTGGAACGGGACTTATGGCGCGAGTATCAGAGCCTCGAGAACAACCTCGAGGTCCGGACTAAGAAGCTGGAGCGGCTGGAGACGATTGTACGCAACAGCATAGCATCGGGATCCCTCGGGTCCTATGAGCAGGCTAGAATGGAGCGCCTCGAGGACGCCTACCGCCAACTCAAGGTTGAGAATGCGACACTACGAACCGCTCAGGACGTCAGGAGTCGGGCTGCCTATTCAGCAACCAACGACCCCAGCGCGGTTATCACTGAGCCCGGCAGTGGAAGCCCGTCGCCGTCCATTCCCACAGGACCGAGGGAGCGAGAGAGGAAGCCTCGCAAGGGCGAGAGAACGTCGACGATGACGCGCAGCGTTTCTAGCCACACGGTGACGACGCCTGGGTCAGCCAATCATAACCCATTTGAAGCCACGTTGGCGGAGAGAGACCCAGCAGACAACCGGTGGATTTTCAAGCTTCGTGACCTCGAGAACAAGCTAAAGGCTGAGCGCGAAGGCCGCTCGCAGGACCGTAACGCGGCAAGACAGCGGCTGGGCGGACTCGAAACAGAAAATCGTGATTTAAGGACGGAGGTGAACCGCATACGCAGGGCCAACGGACAGTTGGGGGACAGCTGAAAAAGTAGAGTTGGCTGGGATTGCGTTGCGGAGGTTTCATTTGTATTCGCTCAACCTCTTGTACCAACAACAGAGCCGGAATGTGTGGCCCAACGTCTCTTTTGTTTTTGTATTTCCATCCTTCTCAGCATTTGTAATTTCAGCGACGAACGGCCTTTACTAGGGATCTGGAGGAGTTTTGCGGACAGGCCGCCTTTTGGGTACAACAGTCTAATACCAAAGCCTCTCTGTCTGGCGTTGTTTAGCAGCTTTGCCTTACAGAACACCCTTGTGTCATCTATATTATATCGTGCCTAGTTGTAAAGTATTGTGTGGCTGACGGTCTGATGAACAAACTGCAAAAAGATGAAGATCTCGAAGAAGAGTTCAACAGAGGCCAATGTTTGGCTTCTTGTGTGTGTCGGGGCTACGGCTTCGGACTTGCCCTTTAGCGTGGGGCTCCTCCGACTCTCCGCCCCAGTCCCGCACTGTTTGCGGGGTTCCCTCCGCCTTCACTTGGCAAGTCTTCAGGTGTCCGACCCGTAATGAAAGAATGCCTACTGGCTGCGATTGCGAACTCGGGCACACGCGGAGAGCACAGCGGGACGATGCATGTCATTATGCACCTCAAGACCGACTGGAGCGGGGCAGAGCGGGGCTCCATATTGATCTTGCTCGTTATGGATGTCCGCCTCGAACGCGGGGGATCCGGGGTGTGATCTACGGATGGAAATGCAAGCTAATTACACGGTCTTTCTCTTGATTGATAAACTTGGTCTTGCGGCATTACCAAGCTTAGAAGGCCGCCCACGTCGAGCTCGATGTCACGAATCGAGTGATGGCACTGGGCTTTCTCATCTGGTATAAGAGGCTAATCGAAACTGCTTTTGTTGATGCTTCTTGAAGGCATCATGATCGGCGAGGTTGACGGGACCAATTTTTGACGAACAACATATTAACCCAAGTTGAAAGTGAGAGCACTTCTAGTTTTCGGTACTTTCACATCATCTCTCAAACTGGGCAACTTCACCAAATGAGGTCCGCTACCTTGGTTCTTGCAAACTCACAAAGACCCTAATTCAAAACTCGTCCCGAAGAAGCCACTACATCTACATCATCAACAGGCCACCAAGATGTTCCGTCTCCACGGCCTGTCCCGGGGTCGGACACACACCCTTCTCCGCCTTCCATCGTCACAATGCCGAACAGTCATGATGGGCGCCGCAGCGCCAAAGAAGGAAGGCGACATCTCTTCCGTCTTCGTCTCTCTTTCCGGCGCCGCCCGTGAAGCACTCCCGGACCGCTTCCGTGTGCTTAAAGAGGACCTCATCGCGGGTCACGAGGATGCCGTCGTTGCGTCCTGGAACCGGCTTCTGCGTGCTTTGCGGGAGGAGAATCAAGTTATCCGGGAAAAGGGACCCGCCATCATCCCGAGCGTTGAATTCAAAGACTTGGAGGGCGATATTGAGAGGCTAAAGGGTGATATTCGCAAGCGTGGCGCCGCTGTCGTTCGTGGTGTCGTTGATGAGAAGGAGGCGAGAGGATACAAAGAGGAGGTTGAGGAATATGTCAGGAAGAACCCTTCCACAAAAGGTAAGCTATCCACGGCCATGTTTACTTTTCTGCAAATGAATCCATAACTGACCAACTCCTCATAAAAAAGCCTTCCCTGCAGACAACCCCCAAGTCTACGAGCTCTACTGGTCTCACCCGCAACTCAAGGCCCGCTCGCATCCCAATATGCTCAAAGTCCAGTCGACCCTCATGGGCTCCCTCTGGAACAAGTCCCCCTCGGCCGCCATCTCTCTGCAACCTCTGACCTACGCCGACCGCCTTCGCATCCGTCAGCCCGGCGACGCAACGTTCGCCCTTGGTCCACACATTGACGGCGGGTCCGTGGAGAGATGGGAACGCGAAGGGTACGGCAAGGCCGGGACCTACGATGCCGTCTTCCGAGGCGAATGGGAGAAGTACGACCCGTGGGACGTCAGCGCCCGCGTCGAGGCTGTGCAAGACTTGTACAACGGTGCCGGCGCATGCAGCATGTTCCGCATGTTCCAGGGCTGGCTGAGCCTGAGCAACTGTGGGCCGAGGGAGGGGACCTTGTTAGTGAACCCGTTGGTGCAGCTCTCGACAGCCTACTTTCTCCTCAGGCCGTTCTTCCAGCCGCGCAAGGAATTATCTGCGAGTGGCAGCGGGGTCGTCGCGGGAGGAGGCGAGGAGTTCTTGCGGGAGGAGAACTGGGCGTTTACGGGCGGCGAGGCGATGAGCACCGAGCTACAAGGTGCAACACCGGGACACGGACAGGAGCTTAGTGAGGCACTGCATCCGCATTTGCAACTTGATGGGACAATGGTTCATATCCCGCGCATCAAGCCTGGGGACTTTGTCGTTTGGCACGCGGACCAGATCCACGCCGTCGATAAGGTTCACCAGGGACAGGGCGACTCGAGTGTCATGTACATCCCTGTGTGTCCGGTGACGGATCTAAATGTCGGATACTTGGCGAGGCAGAGGGAAGCGTTCCTTGAAGGGCTGCCAGGGCCAGATTTCCCCGGCGGAAAGGGGGAGAGCGAACACGTGGGGAGGCCTGGAGAGGATGCCATCAAGGGGGTGGAAGCGAGGCGGGCGATGGGATTGGAAATATTGGTCGGCGCTGGAGATGGGCATGGAGAGAGGGGCTTAATTCAGAGGGCGAACAAAGTCCTGGGGGTTTGAAAACCAAAAGAAAAGGGGTATCTGGTTTGGTAGAGGTCTTGGCTCAAGTATCAAGCTAATGGAAAGAAGTGAGCATATATGTTTGACCTATCGCTTGAACCGCCGCACACGAAGATCATGCTTCCCGTCTTTTCCAAAGACCTACCTATATGCCGTTTTGCTTCTTCTCATTCTTCCTCAGTATGAACCCATAGTAATCAAACGCACTCTCCCCGCCAGAGAGGACATCCATGTCCATGTCCCAAAGATTATCGGCATTTAACAGCGGCCGCATGAAGTGAGGCTGTCTGTAAGTGATGTATAGAAACACCCCGTCGTCCTTGAGGGCGCGGTGGACCTCGCCGAGGTACTTGGCCGTGTTCTCACGAACGTCGACTGGAGGCGACCACGGACTCCCATGGATCATGGCGTCGAGGGTGCCCTTATCAAAAGCGATGTCGACAGACGCAGTCGGCGCGGCATCGGGCATGTCGCGGACGTCGGCCCATTGCCACTCGATGCCGGCCAAGTCAGCGTTTCGTTGTCTCATGAGGTCGACGACGACAGTGGAAAAGTCTAGGCAGAGTTGGTTCTTGTAACCGCGTGCCGAAAGGTCGGCGGGGATGGTCTATGGTGGAAATGGTGAGTGGTGGATTTGGGCCAGAGGTCAAACGTGTGTGAGTGTTGAGTGAAGAAGAAGTAAAGGTGGCAGCCAGGGTGAAACGTGAAGAAATGATGAACGGGGCGAGAGAGCAAGGTGACTACGGAGGCGAGAGGCACAAGATACATACACTATCCCCGGATCCGAGGTGCATAATACGCGGGGAGGTATCAGGGCGACACTGGGAAAAGAGATGCTTTTCAAAGAACGGCTCGAGGGCTTCGAATGTGCGGAACCATTCGTGGGTCGGATGTGAGCCATCCGACTTGGTATAACGCTGATTCCAAAACTCGGGGGTGGCCAGAGCCTCAGCCTCGCTCAGTTCTGCCATTACTACGGTGCCAGATGTTACGGAAATCCGAAAGATGATAAGATTGTATCACAGTAATCGGTGATGTGAGTTGACGGCGGTGAAAGAGACATATACAAGGTGTCGGAAGGAGATGAGATGGCAGGTGTATGCAAGAGAGTGAGGGCGTTAGTGAGAGTAAGAGCAACTGGTGGTGTAAGTGAGGCCTGGGTAAGGTGAAATCAGACACTAGATGAGCGAGCGAGAAGATGAGAGCTGGTCGCGTCGTGGAGGGATCGAAAAAGATTGCAGCCCCGCGACGAGACGAGCGGTGGTGGGGGCGGGGCCCTGGCAAGCTCGAATTGAGGATCCTCATTGGTGATCGGCCACCTTACCTAATCAGCACACATGTCCTTCGCTATGGAAATGAGGGGTTCATTCAACTCAACTCAAGAAACATGCCAAAGGTATGGTAGATGAAGCTCGAGCTCATCAATTTCATCGAGTGATGATTGCACATGTGACATGTCAAAGTCAAAGGAATGGTCATAAAGCTCGTTTAATTCATCAACTTTTTGTTTACCCATGACATGCCCATTGCCAGCCCGATTCTAGAGTAACTTGGATACCATCTACTGGCAATTCATCGTGTTTCTCTCACCTCATCAATGCCGGATCCTCCTGACATCCAGCCCTTCAAACTCATCGAGTGGAGCGCCATTGCGCCTTACTGTTGCTGCGTGATAGGAGCCGCAAAGGGAGTGAGGTAGTCACCCTTGCCGATCTGAACGCCCTTGGTCCGGAGGATGCCGTAGGCCGTGGAAATGTGGAAGAAGAAGTTGGGCATTCCGTAGGCGACGAGGTAGTCGCGGGCCTTGATCTGTACCTCGCCCTTGCCGAAGCCGAGTCCAAGGGGTACGAGGGCATCGGTGCGAGCCTCGAATGTCTTGGGGTCGGCGGCCTTGACGATGGTGATGGTGTGCTCGACACGCTGGCGCAGGTCGTCGAGGCTGGCAAACTCCCTGCCCAGGGCCTCCGGCTCGGTGCCCTGAACGCGGGCGACGATCTTGATGGCGCAGTCGGCCGCGACGAAGAACTGAAAGCTGAAGGGCAGCATGTCATCCGCCAGCTTCCAGTCGAGAATCTCCTTGGCGTCAATGGACTTTTCCTTGGCGTACTCCTCGGCCTTGGTGATGATGTTAAGGAGCGAGTTGAGACCCGCAAGGAGGAGGGGAACGGAGGCGTCGTACAGAGTGTAGGCCATGTTTGCGGTTGTTGGTGGATGAATGTTAATGGTGACGATTGGTAAAGGGCTGCGTTTGTGGTGCTTCAAGACTTGCAAGAATGTCACTAGATTTGTGAGGGGCCAGAAGCTTTATATATCCTCAGCAAGCCATCCGCTTAACAGCAGAACGCAGTCCTGCGAAAGAGCGGTGGAAGCATGAAGCGTTTGGAGCTGATCCAAAGCCCCTGACCTGGTGCAGGTAGCTGGTGATCGGGCGTTTCTGTCCAGTTCGACGGGCGGGTCTGCTTGACTAATGCGTCGGTGCGGGTTGGAGTGTTGTAGTACTGGGGAACTCAACACAGCAACCGTCATGCTCACGTACCGATCTCACTCTGCAGCCCTCGTATAATGCTATTGAAACTCTGGCCCATTTGCGGCCCCTTGCGTTTGTGCGTGGGCACTTGCGCGGCCCATGCCGGGGCTTGTTTCTCGGTCTTCCACTTGATAGGTAAAGTTAGCTGATGACCTGCCCCCCATCGTGAGTGGTGAACGACTCACAAGGCTGGTTTCTACCACAGTATACGGATACTCAGGCACGCCAGGCCAAGGGGTGCTAACTTGCTTCGGAACTCGGGCCAGAGAAGTGCCATAGCGAACAGCACAGAAAGGGCGGCGGGGCTCAGAAACGGAGCGCCGCTGACAAATGCCTCTTCCTCGTCTCACTTGGTCAGGCTTCCCTCACCCATCCTCCGCAGCACGAAGCCCGAGTCGCGGCAGCGGGCTGCGGGGGCCGAGTGGGAGAGCCACTGGCATTCCCGTCCTTGTGCATGTGCCTCGGGGCTAGTTGCATCCGAGCTGTTGCAGATCCTTCGTTCTAGTGGCACTGGGAGTCGATGCTTAGAAATCCAAACGGTCGCAGTCGGGTAGGACAGTATCCATCAAGGTGAAAGGATTCCAGTCGACTAGATATGTTCAGTAAAGGAATGAAAGACCGATGTAGAGATATACTTCAAGATATGGGACATACGATTACTTCACGAGCCTCAGATGGTAGATCTCATATTAATTGAGACAAGAACCAATCGGGGCTTGGATGCAGACAGCGGCCCCAGAAGCTTAAATGGACGAAGACACCACGCACTCTGCAACTATATAGATGGGTTCGACATTCGTCATAAAGCTATGCTATGGCGTGCTTACCAAAGAGAAGCACTCAAGTCTTGTAAAGCCATCACAAAACCAGTGTGCGTGTGCGTATGCGAGTATGTCTGTGTGGATCGGATCAACCAGACGGGAACTCTAAAGGGAGCCTATTCCCGGCAGCCTTATGGCAATCTCAGACCAGCAGTCAGATCCAGATTCAGCAGGGAAACCGACCGGCCACGAAGCAGAATAACGTTGAACATTTATTCGAACCCGACCGAGTCGACTTGCCTTGCTTGCTAATCAGCGTCGAAAAGGCCTTACGCAAGCATTCCTTGCGGGCTAACTCTTCCCCGCCACGTCCGGCCCGGCCCGGCCCAAACGAAGCCAGGAACACAAACCAAAAGATGTGTTGTCACATAGTGTTGTGTTTTCTCTGCAATCCTGGCGAAACAAAACGAAGAGCTTTGCCAAGAAAAGACCAACCATTTACTTCACTTCATTGTTTCTCAGTCACTCCTTACTTTGTCCTTCTCGCCCGGGCTTGAGGCTCTTCGTCGATGTGCTACACGGCCTGAGGTCAAGCAGTCAATCTCATTGCAACAAGGTCGCTCTCGGACTGAATGATTTTGCCAAATGTCTAGTGTGACTGTCCAACAGACCCCCCCAAATGCATTTCGAGCAGGAGTCTTGGGCCGCTGCAAGCGTTTATCCAGCGTGTGTTCCTTTTCCTTTTTACTTCTCATCGGGAGATCCCAACCCCAACGTTGACATAACTACAATTTTCAAAGAGGTTTTTGCTCAGTCTCCCACTCCCGTTCCCAAATTTCGTCAACGATATCACCGCTTCCTTTGACACACTTCCAGTGTCCCATTCCGTACTCTTTCGGCGCTACTCGGCAACCTCTCCCACCTCCACCCACAATCAAGTTTCCAGGTCTATACTTCTCGTCGCGTTCCATTCGTCGGATCACGCTTCCATGAATTCTGACTTTGTCCGGAACGTCCCGGACTTCTCCCCTTGGCAGTGGCCATCTGATTGGTTTCCAACTGCCGTCTGGCCTTAGGTCGAGTCTTCTAAAGGGGAGATACTCCATCACCCGCCACATGAAGACACTGGCACGATGCATGCCACATTTGAAGTCAAGCGAGTCGTGTATCTTGGCTTCGTGGGCTGTCTGCATCATCACGTTGAATGGCATGGCCGTGCAGGTGTGCGTTGATGTACCCGAGTTTGCGGCGTTTTCTGTCGCGGAAGCGGTGGGCGATGGGGGCTGGAAGTCGATAGTGGGGGAAGGCGCATCGACGTGAATTTCCGGGACTGCGATGGCTTCGTTCGGCATAGTAGCCGTCGACTGTCTTGCAGTTCGCGTGTCGTCTCCGGCTACTGATTCAACACAGCCGAGGTACTCGAGCTGGTCGAGATCAAATGTCAACCCTGCTCGCATGGCTTCTCTCACCATCCATACGAGGGGTATGTGACTGGCATTCTTTTGGCCAGGAACGGCGTCCCATCCTCCGCCTATATCCCCGTGCCCTCCGGAGAACCACACCTCATCAACGTCCTGCTCGGCCTCGTCGTCATCCGAGTCGTAGGTGAGGTCTTCCATGGGTGGCTTGGAGTTGATGGATGAGGCATCGTGATCCGTATACGCGTTGCCTGTTCGTTCGGTTGCCCGAGATCTGGATCTGGAGCGACTACGGAAAGGAGCCGGATGATCTGCGTCTTCCTCTTGTGGATGCACTCGGCGCCTACCACGGTCCTCTTTCGCCACGGCGTCGTCAGGTGCAAGTGTTGATCTCCGACCTGGACGATACTTTTCTTGGAACTCCTGCACTTTCTCTTCCAGGGGGTGGTGGTGTTCCATCAAGCGCCTGGCTGCAGTTCTCTTCCGAGACTTCTTGGGCTCTTGGTAAATGAGATCCTGGCGGAATTTGGCGCGTCGTTCATCAATACTGACAGCATGCCTGATGACTTTCGCAGAGCTTCTCGCAGTGTACGGGAACTTGCTACGCTGCATCCATGCTGTTTCGAAGCGCGGCACGCTGTTCACGGTGTCGAACAATCCCAAAAAGCGGATTCGTCTTATGGGTCGCGAGAACGTTTCTCTGAAGCCTTTGAGAAACTGATACATCTTCTCTCTGTCTTGTTTGCCGTCCGGTGTTGAGTTCGTTCTTCTGCATTGCCATTGGGAGAATGAACTCCACGCGAAAGCGACCATTTCCTCGTTGCCATGAGCCAGTAGACCGACAAAATCCAACATCTCAGCCAGAAACCTAGCAACATAGGCACCTCGAGAGAAGCCAAACATGTAAATGTCGTCTCCTGGCGAGTAGTACCTCATCAAGAATCTGTAGCCGCCCACAACGTGCTGGTCAAATGACGAGCCGACTGCAGAGTCCTTGGCCATCTGGTACCAGGACTTGCATTTGGCTCTTGCACCATTATGGGTTAAATTTTCTGAAACAACATATGTCCCTATGCCGGCTGTAGGAATACATGATCTTAGTGACATGGAGCACAGATGCAAAGGTCGCAGCACTCACGTTGATAGTAGTGGTCTATAACCTCTGTTAGCCTCGTCATCCCGAAGACGATTAATGAATGGTGTTCGAATCTCACATTGATCATTCGCGTTGCTGTCGAGCATGCGGAAAATTTTGAGAATATTGCTGTCGCTGTCATCTCCACGAAACTTGTTACCAGTGCCGTCGAAGCATAGGATCAACTTTCTACGGCCACCACCGTGCGAGCCTCCTTTACAATTTCCGTTGGCACATTGGCCACTTAAATTTGGTTGATGTCGACTGTTCCTTGAGGGATCGCGTAAGTAAGCTTGCATTGTTAAAAAGGAAGAAAAAGCGCAAGATGAAGGAAGACTTTGTCCGAAACGCAACGAGAGTCTAATGCTCCTGGTAGGTGTTGGATCAAGGTTGTCGTTAGTGTTGGCGAATATCAAATGTCATATACAATCACCTATGCCACAGAAACCTTGGCACGACGACTAAAATTAAGACAATTTGCAGCCCGTTACGTATGGACTGAACGGCAATGTTTACCCAGGAAATCTGTCTGTTTTTGACTAACGACCGGCGTGAGGTGCAAGCGGACGATTCGGACCTGATCTGCGTCACCAAGCCGAACTTGGAACTCTGTTTCACTCACGCGGCTAGACAACATGCCGAATTAGTAGATTGGTATGGTAATTCAGAAACCCTACTTTGGTCAAAATTTCTCAACCTCGCAAGTCGGCGAATCAGCAAGAAAATCCAGCTGAGCATGTCCGGCATCGGCTGCAGTCTTTAAGGGTCACCCAGCTTCTGCCTCGTAAGACCAGCTTGAGACAGGTCTAGCACTTGTGCTCAAAAGAGAAAAGACAGTAATGAAATACGGCAAACTCGGACAAGTAACTGAGGCGTGCAAGGGGGGAGTTCCTGGAGTAGAGGGAGAAATAGCCGATTTCCATATGTGGATAGAAAGGGAGATATGTTTCGACCAAGGCAGTCCTCGAGATATGACACCAGAAGCGGAAAGTGAAATCACGAATTACGCCCTTGTTTCGGACGCGGTTGTTCCGAGACCTGCTTAGACGCCTCACTGCCCAACTACATATGCCTAAGTGTTGCCAAATCCCTGGGGAAACATGTGGGTATGCGATAAGGCGCGAGACATGAGTGCGCCAGGTCTCACAAACTGTTCTGGCATACCGTGCAAGACAGTCAGGACAGTCCATGTAAGTAGCTAAAGCACCTAAGGATAGGATCGACTCGATATTGATGACGCATAACAACTATTGCCTGATCTGCAAGTAAATCAGTTCTGAGACACAGCCGATCGTTCGTAAATCTCTTTTAAAGTTCACTTTCCCACCATTATTTTGCGCCAAGGAACTCAAGATTACATATCTAGATAGCCAGCACGCCACTCACATGCCAATCCGTCCAACGATGCTCCCTCAAACGAGCGACTACTTGCAACTGCTTGCATACCAACAAAGTTCGAAGTCACAATGCCTGTTGCACAGCATACACGAACACCATGCATGTCTGGTTGAGCACACGTGAAACGTTCTCAGGTGATGTACGAGTGGCAGTTGCCCAGGCAGCTACCACAAAGCATCCAAACAACAGTAGCTTCCTCAAATGAGAAAGAGAGGTCGGACTCGGACTATCGTGGACGTTGTATAACATCACACCCGGCAGCCTCTGACCCCGCTTTCGTTGAAGGATTACCCACGTAGCGGCACACCGGTTCCCGAAGGCACGTCTCACGATACTAAACTAGCGCATCGGAAAATGCCGTAAGGGAATGGGCTTAAGCCAGGTCGATCACTTTCTCTAACGCTGACTAGACCCTAGTATTCTGGCAGGTAGGTATGAAAGTCTCACGAACGGAGCTTTTGCGGACGGTTGCAGCTGCTTATTTCACTGATCTACCATAGGTGTAACGCTACCAACCCGGGGCCGCTCAAGTGGAACATAGTCTTAGACATTATCTGAGACTGTTCGAGACAATCGCAGGGTATCTATCACACCTGGTATTTGTGCTCATTATTCACTCTCCACCAGGACGGTGCTGAGAAAGTAACAATGCCAATTGGCTCGAGCAATGGATGTGAGATGTCAGTGTGAGTAGTCGCACTCTGTGTGGTAGAAGC